CAGGGATACGCTAAGGAAGACCGCGAGGAGTTGGATTCAGTGAGTGCGCTGAGGGATCTCCAGTTGTGCAATGCCACTATGACATGCGTGAGTTTTGCACTTTCACGGATTTCTCTTGAATAAATCTGCACAGCTCCATCTACCAACAGCCGTTTTGCCTGATCTGATACCCCTTGTTTACTATCAATAGTGTTTCAGCATTGAGAACTGCCGGTTTGTTGATAGCTTGCCCGGCAATTGCCTCATAGTCTTGACGTGGTTAACGTCAACGGGCTCCACCATCGACATCGCCGCCCGGTACAGAAGTCATCTTGACTGGGTTCCATCGCAGATAGCTACGTATGCCAGGGTTTCGACTTCAGACTCTGTATTCAACCCCCTCCCTTCTCCTTGAACGAGGATACCAGCTGCGCGCTTTATTGCGCTGATCTCAGCTATACTGTTTTTTACATGCTGGTGCCAGGAAGTCCAACGTTGCTTGGCGTCTTGCGTCTTCTGTTGTCCACTTCCCGGAGGTGTAGGCTTCTCATTTGGGCCTTCAGCATCTCTATGACTTAGAAGTAAGCCTTTCAAGTCCCCGTGGATATCCAAAATGCGCGCAATTTTTCTATTGCTTGTGCCACAAGCCATATCTCGCCAGGGTCCAGTTCTGCGACAACTTTTTGAATGAAACGGACGCAACGCCGCTTTCCTAGGCAACCTTGGTCTTCACGTTCGAGTATGATAGGATCAAACTTCAACGACGAGCCCTACAGCAATTGAGGCTCGGAAAGAAGATTAGCAATGCAGGGAATGGAATGTCTACCCTTGAGAACTGAGGGTGTTCAGTAACGTGTCAAGTGGGGACAACCTGGGCACGGACCCCATGTTCGAGGCTTCTGAAACCATGTAAATCCCCAAGTACTAAGGCCAAAAAGGGTCTGGCAACAGCTTACGACGAAAGAGTCCACGATTTGAGATGCTGATTTCCTTCTTGGAGTAAGGAAGTGAGACATCAAGGCATTGTGAGCTTATGATCTGGCTCACGCATATTAACTAGCATAGCCTTCACCCACATAGTAAGCTGCAAATCAATACAGCACCTCCAGCTTGGCAGCCCCCAAGGCGTTTTGGCCTCGAGGCCCGGTCTTTCTAGTGATGGTGGCGTTTCATCACTTGAGGCTCACGGTGAAGACGGCGAAAGATCGTACCCAAGTGGTGGAAGCGCCAGCCCCGGGCTTATCGAAACAAATCGAATACTATCCAGTTATCCATAGTTCTACGCCACCCATGCATGCGAATTGAAAGGCTGGCCTAGCCATGCAAGCTGAAGGACATCGCTCGAGGTTGATTCACGGCACATACTTCTTTCCAGGTCACCAATCAAGTAGCGTTTCAGTTGATGCGATGTTGATCGAGATGGGCCACACTTGTATTTTCTATCTGCGACTAATTTGACGATGCGCATCCTGTATGCTCGCTGCAATCGCTTTCTCTGTTTCAGCCATGACTTCATGCAGAGTCCAAGAGTGGCCAGGATTCATTCATTTCAGCCTGCGCCGATGCCACACGGAACCCATATTTTGACTTCATCACGCTTGAACGTGGCCAGAATGCAACCACAATGTTTTTAGTATCCATTGACCAGCCAGGAAGGCCACTGCCCTGCACACAGACTGACAACAGATTTTCCAGTGAACGAAGAAGAAACAACCAACTGTTTTGTTGAGTAGATAACGCCCGACTTGTGGGGGCGAAGCGGCCGTCTGAGATTGGTAGGGCGTCGCCTGCGAAATCTCTAGTCATCCTGATCACAAGAGCACAATTGCCTGCCTCTCTCATCAGTAGTGATCTTCAGTCACATCTTAGCCTTGTTGACGCAGCTCTGGACTAACCGGCTCCAGCTCCTTGAGGCAACGGCCATGCTTCGTACCCAACGGACCCGGGGCCAGAGGGGAACACCTGCCTCGAGTAGAAGTCGTAGCTCTTGTAAATTCTGCCATCGAGCTTCGAAGCGATAAGTTCAATAGTTTGCTGACAGGTACTGAAGTTGAATGCTTCCAGTGTCAGGCCCCAAGTCGGATGCTGCGTGTTATTAACGCACACAGGTGAAGGCTTGTCGAGGCTATCACCTGAGATTGTATCGAGCGTTGAATTGATCACAATTGAGCCGAGTGTTCGAGGCAGTGCAGACAATGAGTAAGATAATGCCAACAAGAGAGACAATTGCAACAAATTTGGACAGAGCATGCTTTTACTATTGGCTTGTCCCAACGTGAATTGAAGTGATACTACCATCAACGATTTGATGAAAAGTAGAGATCATGACGTAGAGGTAAGCACAAATTCTTTGAGTCAACAAAACATCGTGCTGGGCAGTTTCACCACCACAACTTTACTCTTGCCACACCTATACGCAAGCGATCTCAATATGAGACATTAGCGACAGCCGACTACAAATCGCGTCTCTCTCTACAAAGAGACATTTTGCTGAATTGCACCCTGGAGCCGCACAGCAAACATTGGGACGCGTATGCGTCTTTTGGAGAAAGAATTAGGTGTGAATTTGGTAAGGCATGGCTAATCAGAGATTTAAAACATGGCCATAATCGTTGCCACCAAGCTATTATGCAATTCCTGAAGTCGCCGACAATAGGTACCAATCTGGAGTAGACGTACGCTCCTCTTCTCACCGTCAGAAGGCAATACTCTCCGTACCCTCGCTTAAGGTGAAAGGTATGCTGTACGTTCTTATCTGTGGACTAAAGAGCGCCCTTGAAAGCTACAGCTTCAAGTATAGCAAGCCTGGAAGTCCATGAATACTGATATACGACGCAAGCATCTGAAAGTATGTGTCATACAACCAATGATGGTTGTTAGGATGACAAAGATGATAGAAATGTAGGGAAGGTGCAAACGATCGGAAAGGGCGCTAGGGTAAATAAAGCGTAGGGCTGATCTCCGAGTGTGAATTGGCTTCTCCTAATTCGAGCTGACACGGAATAATAGGCCACCAGAATATTTCTCTCCCCGACAACAATGGCAGCTGATCCTATCTCCATTCTCCAGCAGGTTGATTCTCAGATTGAGAACATACTCGCTGGCTGGAACCTCTACACCACCCTCATCGCCCTTGTTCTCGCCGCCTATCTGATCTCTCCCCTCTTTCTTTTGACCGAACCAGATGTTCACCCTCTTCTCCTAGCTCGCCAATCCTCCGCCTCCTATGTCCGGCAACCCAAGGAGTCAGCGGTCTTTCGGTCTTTGGAGACCCCACACGGCTATCCCCTCAAGTCTGGCTTGAATGTTAAAGACGCTGGCCAGCCAAAATGGACAAGTGGAAGAGATGGGGATCTGAGAGATGTGTGGAAGCGAGCGGTAACGGGCCCGGTGGACGCTGATGGCAAGCCTACCGGAGGAGAGGCAGGCAAAGTAATCACAACGTATGGGAAAGAAGAGGTCATCGAGTACGACTTTGCCAAACTGTCTAGCGAGATCAACGCCGTGGGGCAGCACATGAAAGCGCACGGGGGGAGCCGTGTTGCTATTCATATGCCCAATTCTGTGGAGCTACTGGTGACCTTCTTTGGTAGGCTGGTAAAGTATCCATCACAAATCAGGCAGCTGATTGAACTTTGTAGCTTCTGCCTTCTACGGCCTAACACCAATCTTGATACCTCAACAACAATCTCTCGACACGCTTGCTGGCATTCTGGTGGAGACTAAAGCAGATATCTTAGTCGCTGGTGCTGGCTCACTGCCATTGAAAGACCTGCTGCCAAAGTATCCTAACCTCAAGCAAGTCATTTGGGTCGTGGAGCGGACGAGCAGACACATGGACTGGAACGAGGTGGGAGAAGGCGAAGGTGGAAAGGCGGATATCGCGGTCTGGCACGATATTATCGACGAGAAGCAGACTTCATCAGAGCTTCCTGATGAAATTTCTGAAGGTACCCTGACCAATGTCGTGATGGTGACAGAAGACGCCTGGAGCGCGATGGACAGCTATGAACTTACAGAATTTACGCAAGCGGTACGCCACACTCATCCGTGATTATGAAGGGGCCTACCGCTGACAGCATGCTTAGAACTTCGTAGCGGCAATCGGTGCCCAGATCTCCGCTCTCCCGCGCCTCCACCGGCTCGCTCCCACAGACACCTTCACACCCCTTGCCTCTCTCGCCGAGATGTATCCCTTGATCGTCACGCTCGCTGCTCTTTTTTCCCACGCCTCTCTCGCCCTCACTTCTGTCAGTGGCCCCAGGGCTTCTTACAGCGCCGCCTTCCAAGGTGCCTCTCCCACCGTTATCATAGCCAATACCGAGACTCTATCCAGCTTCTGCAAAGATAAGGAGAGGACCATGTCATCCAGCCTTCTAGGGCAATTCAACCAATGGCGGAAAGCAAGGACGCTCGAAGCTGGCACCATGCCAAAAGCTTCTGGTCTGACAAATACGCCACGTTTGATCTACACCTACGACAAAGCTGGATCTTCGACGGTCAAGTTGGACGCGGAAGAGCTGTTCAAGTTGAAGGTCTACAGCGGTGCGAGAACCATCTACGCTTTTACGGACTCGCAGGTCGCTGGTGCGATTAGCCAGACTAACATGCTGGACTACCAAAACAAAAGCGCTGATTTTGGACCGCCGCTGAGCTCGGTGGAGATCAAGCTTCGGGACGCAGAAGACGGCAAAAACATTGATGACAAACCCTTGGGTGAGCTCGTGGTCAGTGGACCTGCTGTGGTAGGGGGAGAGAAGGTCGTAAATCAAATCATGACGATGACGGATCGTAACACTTTGGCTTATGCGTCCTAGCTGTCTGGATCGTTATGGGCGTTTGAGCGATGAATCATTAGCCAGCTTGCCGGTCGTTGATAGATTCAAAAAGGGAGGTCAGACTCATGTAGTTAAATTGGACGTGTAACGAAGAACCCTTGTTGTTCCATCTCATCCCTATGCACCAGCCCGCCAAGCCGCAAGCACGACGCCCAGAACTTCGAGCTGATACCGTACCCATCACTAAACACCCTCGGCAAAAATAAACCCCCAACCATCCCCCTCATATCCAACCCTCTCCCTAATCCTCACCCTCACATCCGTACTCGGCGGGTGGATACTGCTCGCCACCCGATTCCCCTCCACCTTCGGAAACACCCACTTCCCACCCGCCGCCTCCATCTCGAACCGCATCAGCACCATCGCCACCGCGCCCGTGATCTCCGTCGTCGCGAAGAACCGGCCCGGGCACAGCGTCTGGCCGCCGCCCCAGGCGCGGTAGGCGCCCGGGTGGACGACCTTGGCGGCACCGCTCGATTGGGGGGCGGCGGCGGACGGTGACGACGGTGGCGGTGGTGGTTTGAGGAAGCGGCGGGGGTTGTATTCGGTGCGGTCGGGGCCCCAGATGGGGTCCGCGTGGATGAGGGCGCCGGGGACGAGGAGGACGGAGTCCTTTTTCAGGAGGTATTGGGAGGCGAGGATGGTGTCGCGGATGACAGAGCGGGAGGAGGAGCTCTGGGTGCGGTGGCGGAGGAGTTCGCGGTAGGCGGAGAGGAGGAGCGGGCATTGGGTTTCGAGGACTGTGATGTCGATTTCGTGCTTTCTTTTTCTGTTCCCGGTTGCGGATGGCTCGGTTGTTGTTGTTGTTGTTGTCATCGTGGCTCCGATCTCGGTGCGGATCTCCTCCAGGAGAGCGGCGTCCGAGTATATGGTCAGTAGCATCCAGAAGAACGTGGGTGTGGCGTTGACGAGCACGCCGATCAGATCGCCGATTTCGAAGCGGGCGACGTCGTCGGTCGTGCCGCCGTTGTTGGTTACGGCGTCGTGGCGGGCTTTCAAGACGCCCAGACCGTATTCATGGTCGCCGCGGTTGAAGTACCCGTTTAGGCCATGGTGGAGCTTTCGGCGGCCTGCGTAGCCTTTTCGAGCAGTATATTTGGGATAAAGGCCGAGAAGTATCATGGTAAAGTCCTTCTCGAAGTCCCTGGTCCATGTCTCAGTTTCGGGCTCTTTACTTCCTTGCATCTTTAAGATCGAGGAACTCACCAAAAAGCCTCGACCAGCTCCGGGTCAAGACGAATTGGGTTTCTCTTCCCATAAATGGACTCCGTACTCGCAATCGTGAACCTAGGCCTAATCCACCCAAAGAGCCCCCCTTCCCACCCCCCTTCAACCGCCCACTCATCTAAAAAGGGTGCCAAAGTTACCAACATAGCCTTATGCATCCTATCAAGATTAGGGCCCGGAGCCATCTCCCTATGCATACCCTTATGGGTCTCATGCACCAGGCCCACCTTTCCTTCTTTACCTACAATCTTACCATCAATGTTGTACCTGATCAAATCCATAGTTCGTGAGTCCGGCGCTAGGTCAAAGAATCGTGGAGCTAGTGAGTAGACGAATGGGAAGAAGGCTATGGTTTTCTCGTTGCGTTCGACGGCCGTGACGAGGTCGGCGGAGTTGACGACGTAGGTGCGTTTGTTGAGGGTTTGGAGGGTGTAGATTGGAAGGTTGTTACGAGCGCTGCAAACATGCTTTTAGCTATGGTTTGTTGTTGGAAGATGGATGGGTGACCTCAAGATTTCAAAGTAGCGCTGGCCATAGCGTAGTAATCCGAGTATGTGCCCGACATATGGGATCAAGCTGGAGATTACCGGTGGTTCTCTCGGGTCGTATGTGGGGCTGAACAGATAGACAAGTGAAACATATACGACGACAACCAGCAGGGAAACGCCGACAAACGTCGAGAACAGGCTGAGGTCCATTCTGACAAACAAGCGTTTTGACGAAATGAAAAATCAAAACTCATGTATATATTCGTATGTTTGCTTCCTCCAATTCACAAGAACACTCGAGAACAACAGGCATCCACGTGTCTGAGACCCCTTCTAGCGTAGCGGTACTTCGAATAGTATGGTCAACCGCATAGTCCAAGCAGACAATAGACCCAAAGGAATTGTATACAAGATTAAAATCTGAGTGAGAAGACGCTTCTGTAAGGCCCCCAATCCGTGCTGCCGTAGCTCGGGCGCTTGCGAAAGAGGCGAATCATCTTGAGTTGCTGAGACCAGGGGTGAGTTTAAGAAAGTAGGTGTACGAGACGAGAGACACAGTTGCGGTGAAGAATTCTTTTGACGCGGAAGATTTTCCTTGAGGAAGCAAGGGACGCCTCGAACTCCACGGTCGATGACTGGACGTTGATTTGACGCTTGGCATAGATTCTTGTCATCAATTTATCATCTTCGCGTGGGGCTTTCGATTGTTAACAGGAAGAAGAAATCGTTCCAAGGATTGTTCACAAGATATCGAACAAATTATATCCTAATGATTGGCAAAAAGTTGGACGCTGTGGGAATTGAACCCACGACCGTTCACATGCGAAGCGAAAATCATACCCCTAGACCAAGCGCCCTGTAATCAAATTTTTTACTATTGGTTTAACTATAGAAATAATCTTTGACATCACCACCGATGAATCAATTTAGGTGTGAGCCAGTTGACCGCATCGATAGAGTAGAAGGCGAAGTTGGAGTATGCAATCTATCATCTCACGCTGAGCAGGAATCATGCAACAAAACCGAAGATAGTTATCTACATGGTACCATGCTGCTTCAGGTAAGGTAACGTATGGTTACTGTATGAATTGTGTATATGAAAATTTGTTTCATGAGGTGTATTCGCACATAAAAGTAAATACGGATGAAGGATTCGGCTATGAGACTACTGCTCTATTCACTAAAATCAATTTGGTATACTATGTCTGACACATACTCATTCGCCGCGCCGTCTGGAGAAGATTGCAGACACTCAAAAGATTAGTTCACAAAAAAGGTCAATTCGTTCCAGTCTTCATGATAATATTTGCGAATGACCTCCAAATTCGACCTGTTCAGCTTGGACTAAACAGTGATGTAAACCAACCCCACCTCATCTGCTCCATCCCAAACACTCGCACTACCCCATCCGTAAGAATTGTTGTCCATCCAATCCACTATCATCAGCAGGCCCAACTCCAGCTCCACCCAAGTCATATTGACCCCTGCCGCATTAGTCGCCGTAATCTTTGCATTCGAGCCCACTGCTCCAGCGAGACTGTACACTGGTGCACTGCCAGCCGCTATGCCCGTCTCGCTTTCGTTGGCTGTCTGCGTATCCATTTGGGTTTCCACTTGTCGTATAGCAGTCCCCAGTGTGCTCTTGATTGCCGCTGCGCCTTGGGTCCCTTGTAGGACGAGCAGGATATATACCTCGGTGCCTAGGGCGCACCACTGCACTGTGTTTTGTAGGCGAGTTTCGAGTTTGCGAGAGGCGGAAACCCCACTGGCACCATTGGCGAGGGTCTCGAGCGCAGGCACAGGGTTGACCAATGTTGCGACAGAGGAGGGCCAAGGTTTCGGCACGCTGAGGAAATGTCAGAGTATGACGTCGGTCAATTTGAAATATGGGAGTCTTACGTTCCAGCAACAATAGATGGTGCGTTATCGCATGTTTGCTGGACTTGGCAGAGTTCGTTCGCGGCGTTGCATTGCACGTGATTTCGGGGTAGAGACTGAGGTCCGACAATTGGCGTGGCGAATGTGACAGATCTAATGGTAGGTGTGAGGACTAGGGCCGAGAGGCTCCATAGATGCATGTTCTTGTAGGAAAATATAGAGCAGCCAGAACAAGTAGCAAATCCCAATGACCTCGTAGAACAACGAGTCGAATTGATTTTCAGTGTACTGCCTTTAATCGAAGGTCAATCTAGCTACTGCGGATGCAAATATCTCAAGCGAACAATGTCAATTGTAATGAAAATGAAAGAACTTCAAGTAGCATACAGAGCGCTCGCTCTAATATAGCCCCGCGGAATGTTTTCATCATGATCAGTCTCAAACTTCGTGCCAAGCCGACGACGCATATCGACGTTGAGGGGCTAGCAAGGAGGTGATAAGGTGGTCAAATCGCAACACGTGAAGATCACAAAACCTAACGCCCGTTGGGATGAAAAGCCTCAATCGAATATGCACGCAAATTCCTAATTCAGGTATACAGAGGAGCGCAAGGGCCTTTTCATGATCAAGTGCCTTCCCCACATTAGGAACGGAAGCGCACAAATTCATCTTATCAAAAGCGAATATTTACAGGCGCACGGACATCATTGCGCAGACTTTTCTTGCACGGGAGACTTGAATGCCCATGAAGGGCTAGGCAGAAAGGTTAAGAATGGAGAGAGACAAAACCGCCGATGGATGGTGCGTTAGAGGCGCTGAGGGACATATGGAGTCTGCAAGCGCCTAGCGCATAGGCGCAGCAAATCAGCCGTCGTGCAAAGAGGCTGCATGCTAGATTTAGGTTTCAAGTGCAGACGAGGAAACCCAAAATAAGCCATAAATGTCGACAAGGAAGCCGGATAAGATGGGCCGTAAGGGGGTAAAACAGATCATGCAAAGCAAAGGCGATTGTGAGCGTTGGCGCCAATCCGAAACACGCACAATCGTGGATCTGGTGCACCCCACATATTCGATGACCGCTCGGGAATGGGGAGATTATCAGAGCGTTTGGCAGATCTGATGCCTTCACTTCGTTGCTCTCATCGTTTGACTTTGAGGATGTTGTACTGCCAGAATTGCCACTTATCCTGACGACAGCCAACATATAAGAGTTCGAATCTGTGGGTTTTTTCCTCATGATGTAGAGCTTGCTTAAGGTCCGGACGTGAAAGTCTTTGCTTTTCGAGACGTTGAGCTTTGTCTGCAGGCCCGACATTGACATTCTTCAAACAGGCAAATGCAGAGACGAAGGCATTGGTCTTTGATCACGCCATAACCAAACCTTCAACCTACCTCGACACTGCCTTCGGGCACGCCAGCTCGGCTCCTCAGCTGACGAGCAAAGAAGCGCATAATGGGTAGCATCTCGTCTCTATTTCGAGGCATACCGTCTCCTGCCCTGTTCCATTTTTGATATTCGACATTTTGAAAGGCTGCTTTCAGCTTATCAAGAGCTGTCCGAGTGATCAATGTACTCGATGACCCTCCAAGTACCAAGACAGGTGTCTTGACGGCTTTTGCAGATATATTCGAGGATGCTAGGGGACCACCTATTGAGACAATACCTCCAAGCTCTTCGGCCACGGAAGCTGCGGTAGCTAGAGCTGCCATTGCTCCTTGACCGAAGCCAAAGAGCATGATCTCTCTTGCCTTATACCCACACTTCTTGATCAGCCCATTCTCGATTATGTCTTGCTTGATGATCTTGACAGCTTTGTTGAATCCAGTGTCGAAGTCCATCTGCCCCGAGGCCTGATCGAAGGTGATGTCGTCACCCCAATGGAAGCCACCAAGTTCAAGTGGTAGAGGCGTAGGTGCTTGTAGAGAGATGCATGTTGTTTCAGGCAGAGCAAGCTGCTTGCCTAGACTGGTAAAGGAGACTGCAGTGTCCCCAAGGCCGTGAAGAAGGATGAGGACGTTGGTAGTATGCGAAGACAGTGCGGGGGGAGGAGTGATTGATAGGACGAGCGATGTTGGAAAGTCCGCTTGAACGACAGGATGGAGGGTGGGCATTTTGCCAAGCTCTCGGGCCTGTTCTCGGAGTTTTGCACCTTCAATTTGGCCAAGTAGTCGAATACCTGATTGGCAATGGTGAGCAAAGTTGTGTCTCCTCTATAATTAGATCCAGGTACCCGACATTGCGTCATTTGCGTCACAAATACGCCGTAACTAAGGGACTGGACATGGTCTCAGGAATTTTGCCCTCTGATATCGAACCATATTCATAGTCCATTACTTTACCAAGTCTGCATCTTCTCCCTATTGCGTGTCTCAAGCGATTCAGTATTCAAAAGCACCCAACGTCACCGTGCATCTTCCCGGGTAAAGCATAGCCCGAGAGATCTGCAGCGGCAAGCTCAGGGATACTGCCCCAGATGACTCTGCATGAGTGAAGATGAGTGGTAAATGAATCCCCTTCACATTGCCCACTGTTTCAGAGTAAGTAAGCTGCCGCCGCGGCCAAGAATCCGCCAAGAATTCGCCAAGACCCATGGAGGGGCAATAATGTGGGGCTGTACCTTGTAAGACCGATCAGAGTGACGCTGCTGGTGCTGGGTCAACATATAAAGCCTTCACGTCCTCCATTCCATCTCCTTCTTTCAATTACACTCTTTCCTCTTCAAAAATCAACTCACAAACTTTGACCCGTACACTCTACATTCAATTGAACAACTCCTCTTTCCAAATACTTAGCAATCATGGTTTTTGGCTGGGGTACGTCTTATACAATTATCCTTCCCAACACCAACAGATGCTGACTGGCAGGCGATCAGGTGAATCTCAAGACGCGCACGACCAGGTCTACAACCAGGGCGGCGGCTACGACAATCCAGACAACCAAGCTAAATTCTCCCACGAGCTCGTGGCTGGCGGTGCCGCCTTCGAGGGCTTCAAGCTCTACGAGGACCACCAACGCAAAGAGGGTAAGCAGGGACTCTCCACCACATGCTGTATCTGCGATCCCTTCGAGCTGACACCACAACAGGCAATGTCGTGAACCACGCTTTCGCCAAGGAGCTCCTCGCTGGATTCGTCGGTGGTGAAGTTGACAAGCTCGCTGAGACCAAGGGTATGTAATGCCATCGACCAAGAATGCAAAACAAAAAGCTGATCTGGCGCCAGGCATGAACGCTTACGACCGCGAGCGTGCTCATCATCAGGCCAAGGAGAATTCCAGCCATATGTACGACGAGCACTACGTCCGGGGCCAGAACGCTGACCAGTACGACCCAAACCAATATGACGCTCCTCAGCAGTTCCAGGGCGGCTACGGTGGCCAGGGCCGCTATTAGATGCTTTTGAGCCCGCAAAGCCCTCGAGGTTGGTTTTGACATGAAAGGTTTCCGACCAAAAGTTGCGGTCCTAAGTAGACGGAAAAGCCATGGGCACAATTGATAGCATGCAAAAACATTAAAAATCATTGAAGACAAATTACAAAGCGGAAACATCAGGACCTGTGTGAACGTCGAATGCGAGCCTCCACAAATGTACAGTCTCCGCTATTCCCAAAATATGCATCCGACCGGAGCACGATCTTCGTGCGGAATCAACAGCGTAGTGTGACAAAATGGAACACTTGGCTTGCGTATAATTAGTTGTACTAGTAAACGAGCCATACCCATGCCACTGACAAGGGATTACCCTCTTCGTTATACAGCACGCTAGTGCGTTGCGAATTACTACGTACAGCGTAATTTGAAGGCCCATCTTTTGTCGCGTTCGAATTCCCACTGCTCAGCCACGAAGACTATGCTCCTGGCGCGAGATGATCCCTCTCCTTCATAAACCATGACCACACCTCGCCTGCGCAAGCCTGCTATTGGCAACTGTCAGTGTGTGAAAACCCTCACTGTCTGCTCTGAGAATACACCTGGCGGGTACATGATCTTCCTGAACTTCTCAGCTCCGACATTGGGTCAATATTAGATATGGGGATGAATACAGGTCAAGCATATAACAGGTGCCTTTCTTGCTGTTTCCCACATTTCCCATCATACCTCTACACACCTCTCTGGGCGACATTCCATCCACGGCGAAGATACCTTTCCAAACGATGAGAATGCACTGGATGCCTCTCACCTTGTGCGTTGCCTTACTGGGCACGATAATTGCTCAGTCTCCTCCAAACTTCCAACCCAACGCGAATGCAAGCCTCAACGTGCGATATAACTTCGGGTTTCTCACTCCTGGAGTTCAGCTGACTCCCGCCCGTACGTACCCTCAACACTGTTTGGTTAGCATGTAGAAGCTCAAGAACAGCCGAGCGTTGGCACAAGCTTTGCTCCATTCAGGGAACAAAAAATCGTGATGATGATTAGCACCGACGGTGCTTCCCAGACAAACACCAGCACTACGCAGGTCCTTGAATTGGCTCAGCCAGGCCTCACCTTCCTGTCCTACAAGAACAGAACCCTCGCTTCCAACCTATCCAGCCCAGCCATAACACCATATGCAGCTCCAGCGACATCGCCAGGCACTAGGTCGCACATATGTTTTGTTTTGGTTCCAGCAAGCAGCCAACTTCACACTCCCAGTAACGTTTGTGGCGCGCGGAGTGGGGGATCGAACCAGATTTGATCTCGGGGATTCTGCGGAGCAAGCGGGTTTGGAAACGCCATTGGCGGCCGATTACTCTGTTTCTAAGAGAATGTCGACGATGACTGGTAACGGAACTGCTACCGGAATTGAGGGGATCGGTGAAACATGGACTTCCATCGGCGCTAATGACTGGGGAGGCAGGGGATGGTTGAGGTGTCCATAGTTTCTATAGCTGTTAGAATAAGATTGTCAGCTGTCTACTGAATGGATCAATAGCAGAGAGAAGGATGGATGATACCTGAGTTTTGGGTTGGCAGTAGTTCAAGTATTGAAGTGTTCCGCAGACTTCCTTGCCCTGATGCACGTGTCTTCGGGTAGACACGGTCAAAGCGGAGAGGATGTCGCTGCGGGCTGCGGCACGTCACTGTGATTTATCGGGACTTCCCAGAGAAGCAAAGTGAAAAATAAGTTTGGCGTATGCGACCAAACAGCCATACAGCAGCAGCATTGGTGCAATTGCGCTTCACAAACAACAGGAGTACTATTATCCTTACGTACTCTATGTTCAGGGACACTATATCCACCGCCATAATTTACTCTAAGTCTCTGCAGTTTTGCAACTTCTAAAAATTATTCTTCACCTGTACAACCGCAATGCTTCCTGCAACACGCGATCCACGCCCTTCTTCCAGCAATGAAATTTGCAAAGTGAGCTGCTATATGCGTCGAGAGCATCCCTGTGTCCGAACTGACTGACAAAATTGGCAGGGAGCTCGAACAAGACCTGGTGCCAGAATGGCGGGCAAAATACTTCGATTACAAGGTCTGAATTTTCCATCTGTCACCCCAGATCCACCCTGGCTGACGGTCAATGTCCGCAGATTGGGAAGAAAAAAGTCAAAGCAGTCGCACGGGCTCTCAAAAGCGTCAATCAAACTCCCAGGACGCCTGGACGCCAATTACCCTCCAACCTTCTCAATAATGCCTTCCAATCGCCCATCCGCAACCATGCCGCTCGACACACCTCATCCCCACACACAACCCCAGAGCGTCGCGCCTCAGCTCTCACGTCCTATGGCTCTGCGAAAGACACGCTTCGAGGCCGATCAACCTCATCGCAAATTGGTCCTTATGAAGAAATCAGCTCGGAAGGAAGCTCAGAAGGGCGAGAGGGGTCAGCACCGTTGACTATACCTGGCCAAGGGATTTCGCAGGGAGCAATAGATGAGTCAGTTTCATTGTGGGATAGTGGTGTGGTCACGAATTATGGCAGTATCATTGCAACACCACCACCGCGCAACATACCAATGGGCCCGCCTTCCCTCGAGCTGCCAGACCCGGCCCTCTCCCCCAGCGAAGAGGCCTTTCCTCGTCATAACCGTGCTTGGCGCCAAAGCCGGTTCAATCCCAATTCGCACCCTACTCCGCCACCTGTGAGAAATGAGGGCAAGCCTGGAGATGCATATGAAGTCGGTAAGACTTCCGTGCCATCCAAGCTAGGTTCTTCTCAACTTCTGCCAAAGAACAAGAATGTCTTTAAGACCCGAAGAACGATGTCTACGCCTGGACCACTTATCAACTCACCCCGGCCTCCCCTAATACGACGCCTGTTTTCTACTGCTGGATTAGAGTCCCCTCAACTAGGCGATGTTCCATTGGAGGCATACAAGGAGTTCGATCTACGTCAAGCCGAATACTTCACTTTTTTGGACAAGGAGCTGGAGAAGATAGATTCGTTCTACAAGATGAAAGAAGCTCAGGCTGGCGCACGACTGCTGCTTTTGAGGGAGCAATTGCATATAATGCGTGATCGTAGAATGCAAGAGCTCCAAGCTGAGCAGATAGCTAGGGAGAGAGCAAGGCTAGAACACGAGCGGATAGCATCGAGTGGCCATGCTGGGATACCCAACAAGTTGACCCTCAATCACAGGAGTGGGCAACACAATCGAGCAGTTTCTTCTGCCCTTAAATGGATGGAGCCTATCGAGAATGCCATAGGGGTTGGGCCTTCGCGTGTCGGAAAAGTCACCAAGAGTATGCAGCAATGGGGATCCCCATCAGGGCCACAAGCCCACAATCCTGAACAATCAAGTCGCCCTGACTCATGGAGAGACTTCTCCCGTCGGCCCACGCACCCAGACGACGTCCCATACCGAGCTGCGAAGCGGAAACTCAAACTTGCCCTTCAAGAATTTTACAGAGGTCTGGAACTTTTGAAATCATATGCACTCCTGAATAGAACGGCCTTTCGCAAGATCAACAAGAAGTACGACAAGGCGATCAAAGCTCGTCCTACCGGGCGTTATATGTCTGAGAAAGTGAACAAGTCGTGGTTTGTGCAGAGCGAAGTCTTGGAGGGGCAACTTGTAGCTGTCGAAGACCTTTATGCGAGGTACTTCGAGCGTAACAATCATAAGATTGCTGTTGGCAAGCTCAGGAGTAAAAGCGCCAGAGCTGCTGACTTCAGTGGCAGCATCTTTCGCAATGGCCTTCTCCTTGCAGCTGGACTGGTTTTTGGCATTCAAGGAATCGTGTACGGAGCTGATCATTTGTCAAATTCAGACCCCGTTGTGAGCACTGATGCGAGCTATCTCTTGCAGGTGAGTAATCAGCGCCCTTTGTAACAACAGGAAACCTTAACAGAAGATACAGATTTACGCCGGCTACTTTCTAGGTTTGTTCCTTTTCCTTCTCTTCTGCTTGGATTGTAAGGTGTGGACACGAGCGAAGATCAATTACCCATTCATCTTTGAGTTCGACAGTCGGCACAATCTTGATTGGCATCAACTGGCCGAAGTAAGTGATCCAGCGGCCGATTGAAAGGATTGTGCTTATGGCGTTGATAGCTTCCATGCCTGTTGCTGTTCTTGCTAGGGCTATGCTTGTGGCTCAACTTCCAGCAGTCAGGCACGGACGCCATGTTCCTTTACTGGCCGGTGCTGTTAATTGGCCTTACCGTCCTGATTCTATTCATGCCTGCCCCAATTCTCTACCACAGGAGCCGCGAGTGGTGGGCATACTCTAATGTACGTAGAAAAAGCCTTGAGGATTCAAAAGACTGACACCATGAATAGTTCAGGTTGCTCCTCGCTGGGCTGTATCCCGTCGAATTTAGAGATTTCTTTCTTGGGGACATGTATTGCTCCCAGACATACTCCATGGGGGTAGGCTTTACTCGTCTTGGTCATGAAAGGCGCAGGGCTGACTCTAGTGTAGAATCTGGAGCTCTTCTTCTGTCTCTACGCAAAGGATTGGAATAATCCCGGCCAGTGTAACTCAACACATTCACGACTTCTCGGCTTTTTCTCGACAGTTCCCGGCATTTGGCGAGCATTGCAATGTTTAAGACGTTACTATGATACCCGGAATGCGTTTCCTCATTTGGTCAACTGCGGTAAATACACATTTACAATTCTTTTCTACATGTCGCTCAGTCTATACCGGATCGACAAAAACGATTCTCTAAAAGCTCTGTTTATTACCTTTGCGACTGTTAATTCGATCTACTGCTGTAAGTTCACCCACTGCACCGTGTTCAGCTGTTGTTGTCTAACATTCTCTAGCTATTTGGGATCTTGCGATGGATTGGAGTAGGTCTATGATACCCCGTATGACGATGCAGCTCATTTACCTGCTTAGGTCTCTGCAACCCGTACTCCGAACACCCTTTTCTGCGCGACGTTCTTGGCTACAAGCGACCTTGGGTGTACTACCTCGCCATGGTCCTCGACCCTATACTCCGGTTCAATTGGATCTTCTATGCCATCTTCTCTGGCGAGCTGCAGCACTCCGCGCTCCTCAGCTTCTTCGTCGGCTTTTCAGAAGTGTGTCGCAGAGGCATCTGGACATTGTTTCGTGTTGAAAACGAACACTGTACGAACGTCGGCCGCTTCCGAGCCTCACGAGATGTGCCGTTACCTTACGAGATCACGACACCTTCATCTTCCACACCAGAAGAAGAAGAAGAGCCCCAATCGCATCCTTCGCCTGAACAACATCGCCGTACCGCCCCACTCCAAGCCTCGCCATCCTCCGTAGGCACATCATCCAACCTCGAAGCCCAACCGCAGTCCGGCTCCCTTCGCCGCCGCCAAACCGTGACCAACACCCCTATCCAACGCGGCATAGCCCGTGTCGGTACTGTCATAGCACAGGCTCACGCTCAAGACTTCGAAAAGAAGAGAAGACCCGATGTTCCTGAATCCGCGTCTCCGTACCATGGAGCCAGGACCGGCCCGGTAGAGAGCAGTGATGAGGAGGATGAGGAAGAAGAAGGGAGCGAGGCTACCGGTGGCCATGCGGAAGGAGACGGTGGCGAAGAGACAAGGGCTGATGAGGAGGATGTGCAGGATGTAGGGGAGATATTGAGGCGGCATAAGAGTGCTACCGAGTGAGCACGTTGGGATTCCCTCGGGACTGAGATGATGTGTATATGTATCAAAAGTGCTCAAATTCAAAAAATTGAATATCCCTCGCGGTGTATCCTCCCCATGCCTCGTCCAAAACCTCAACCACCTCAGCCGAACAAATTGATAAATACCAATTCTCATTCCATCTCATCCAAATCGTCTAATCACGATATCGCTCCGTCACCACCCGATACTAGTCCTTTACATCTCAGACCTCTCTCCACAAAGCCCCTTCCCTTCCCTCCCTCCCCTCACCATGCCCGTCTCGCGCCCATCATGCTCGCCCACTAGCACAAAGAATCGGACGGGCGGCATGAATCCGTCGTGATCTCTCTTGACACCGTTAAGAGTTGAAGATTTAAGAGTGGAAAATCTGTCGCATCGATGATGGTAATGCCAATCGAGGGAAAGACTGCATCCATCGTCTCCGGGGAGAGATCACGGTCCGCTCTGATGTCTGATGGCGAATGCTGCTTTGGGGTATGCTTCGGGGATGTGGAAGGCTGTTTTGGGGTATGCTTCGTGGATGTGGAAGGTGATTGTGGCGTGGTCGGCCCGTGTGGAGTAGATGGTTTCGGCGGTTTGTTAGAATGGGGTTGGGGAATCGGGATGAAGTGAGGTGTGGATGTGCAGGATTGGAGGGTTGATGGGATGTGGGGTGTTGAGACGAGTCAAAGACAGTGATGCTGTGGTGCGCGCCTTGCGATTTAAGCTTTCATCGACGCTTCTATCTCAAGTTCTTTATTTCCCCCAGCTCTAGTCTTTGCGCCTTTCTTCTTCTGCCTCTTGCTAATGGGCCCACCGTTTTCTTCCTTGACCTCTGCCTTGGCCGGCCACTTCCCTTGCGCCAACTCCTCATCCTCTTCACTCCATCCTCGAGGCAAGATCGCAAAGACTAGATAAGATGTATGCGTCTTGATCTCCGGCTCCGCTCTGTGTATCAATCTCCCCTCCTTGTACAACTTCCTTCCTTCCAATGCATGCCGTATATTCTCCAGCCGCTGCTGCTTCGACACCTGAGCTGGACCTGGCGCTGTTGCTTGTTCTTCCCCTTCATTACCTTCGTTACGAAATATCCTCGACCGCCCCTCTACCTCTCTCAGTCTTTCAATCGCTTCGTCGACGGATGCAGGTGAATCGTTGACACCTCTAAGCCCTTCTTCAGCGAGTCCAACCCGCTCCCGCCGGACTTCTATGCGATGGGCGGCGATCTCCACCATCTCTATTTCTGTCCAGCCTTGAGTACGTAGAGTGGTGATGGTACGTTGCACTTGTTCGATGCAGGGGGAGAAGGTGCAGAGGTGGATGGCGGTTGTTGGTGAGAGGGGCGACGAGGGGGAGGCACGGGTCAGGTTTTTGAGGGCGAGCCAAGGAGCAGGCAAGTCGAGGAATATGGCGTTAGCTTTCAACTCTGATGCGGGAGTATCATTGGGTGTAAAGCCGTCCTGGCAGACATCTCGGTATGTGAGTTCGACGATGCCATTAAGCCCGTGTTCCTCAATTTCTTCTTGCAACTTTTGTGCTCGCTGCTCATGGAACTCGAAGCTCCAGACTTTCCCCCAACGCTTCATTATCGAATCTTGCGTTGAGTCTTCGGTGTTGGTGTTCTGATGGCCATTGTAGACCGCTCTTGCCGCAGCATGTGTGAAAGATCCACTGCCAGCACCTGCTTCGATCAGGACCGTGCCAGGTGTCACTCGAAGTCGGTGGAGAATGTAGCTGTAGTCAGGCGTGTAGACAACTTGGGTCCGATGGGGTAATGAAGCCGTCCATATCTCTGGGGTAGGTGGTAGCAGATGCACAAATCCAGTAGCTGCTTTCACGGCTGCTTTCGATTCTACTTCGACCTTTTGCTTCTTCTCTACACCAGCCACATCATCCTGAGCCTGACTCTCCTTGTCCCTCTTCCTTTTCTTGCCCTTTCCCTCCCAACCTTTGCGTCCTCTCGATCCAGTGTCAACGATCGAAGCTCGCACTTGTGAGCCCCATGGTACACCAATCAAGGTGCTATGTGGGAAAGAGCCGAATCGTGTATTTGAGACTTTTCCTTCCGAGTAGCCTTCGTTTAGCTCATCATGGGAGCGGAGAACAGTAGGGATAAGGAGGTCACGCTTTAGGTGAAGTATGGCGAGGGAGTCAGTTTCGGCGTTTGGACCGCAGTGGAGGAAAGGGGAGGATTTGAATGAGGAGGAGATAGCCATGGGGGTTGATGCATTTGCTAATTGAAGATTGGATGGTGGAGTTTGAGAATTAATGATTGTGGGGTAAGGCTTAGCGTATGCGTATGGAGCGGGACTTCCCGTACCGAGAAGTTAGACGAATTCCCTTTCTCAGGTTGCAGTCATTTGTTGACTCAGCTCACGACTCATGTTTCTCTACCAATGCTCTTATTTATCGCCAAGAGCCCCCGAATCTATCATAACATATTCCAGATTTTTCGCCCATTAACGATACAAACTTACAGTCTTTCTCTGAACCGACTCATGGCCACCGCTTCTCGACAGCCCCCTTGGCAGCAGCCCACGGCGCCTGATGCTGATCTACCTAGATTAGTTGTCTACAATAGCCTTACCAGATCCAAGGTTCCTTTTGTTCCCATTGACTGGAAGACAAAAAAAGTGTTGTGGTACAACTGTGGGCCAACAACGTGAGTGTTGTACTAGTCTACATAGAAGGTTTTATTCTGACCGAATCAGATATGCCGATGCTCATATAGGCCACGCCAGGTAAATTGCTATTCTTCTGTTTCTCATTCACAGATATCTTATCTACCTACAGAAATTACATGTCCACAGATATTATTCGGAGAATATTACGCGACTATTTCAAATTCAACGTGATACTTCAGATGAATTACACTGATGTAGACGACAAGATCATAGGTATGCAAATTTCGTAGCAATTTTTTCCTAGCTCATATCGCAGCCTGGAGTGCAAGATCGGTTTCGGGAGCAGAAATCACATTATGCCTCTGCGGGTTGTCTCATTACTCTGCCTGTACTGAAGGAGGAAAGCTGACTCCAAAATATTACTAGTACGAGCTCGACAACAACATCTGCTCCGAGTTTTTAAACAGGAACGATTAGAGGCTGCTTCAGATGTTACTGGAACCAGACTTGCAGCCCTAGAGGCGTATCTGACCAAGAATCTACCAAGAATATCTCAGAGTACATCTCCTGAAAATGTTGAGTCGGAGATAGCAAAGCACTACTCTGCCGTGCTGTCAGGGCATCCATTGGATCCAGGGACCCTTCCAGGAGACAGAGAAGCCAAAGTCAAAATGCACATCAAAACCGCTCGTGGTGCATCAACCGCAATAGGTGGTCTCGAGCAGGGGAGAGACCTATCAGAGGACAATCTCGCAGATCTTGAGGACGTCATCATGCCGTGGCTTGATCAGAAGTTCGGGTCTTCCGTCGCTGAAAAAGCCATATTTTTGGAGTTAACGAAAAATTTCGAAGAACGCTTTGAACAGGACATGGTAAATCTCAACTGTCTTGCTCCTGATATAATTACTCGCGTTAGCGACTATGCTGCTCAAATGTAAGGCACTTTTCGAAGTTGAAGTTCTTCTCCCTCTACAGGACTGCTTTTTGAGTCATGAGACATGTTGCAGGAGTAATGTGCACCTTTTGTTACACTTTTACTATCTGGATATCTGTTCTTCGGATCAAAATGATAATAGAAACGCTGACCCCGAAATGTACTAGTGTGAAATTTGTCCAGGTAATCCAGCAGAATGGATTCGCATATTCTTTAGGAGGCTCCGTCTACTTCGACATCGAAGCTTTCGAAGCTGCTGGAAATACCTACGCTGTGAGTTCGAGCAACTTTTCATTCTTCATCTTGAAAGAATAAGCTGACTCCAGAACCATTCAGCGACTCGAGCCATGGAGTCGACAGGATGCCAAGCTCATAGCGGAGGGAGAGGGATCGTTGACAGAAGCAGCGTCGGAAAAACGATCGACTGCGTAAGGACCGTTTCTGATTTGTTTCTTTTCCCTTTGCCCTTTCTCGATTTTGAAGACTTTTTCAAGGATAGGCACTTATGTCTTGCTCCTCGAGCATACCCTCAAAGTCAAGGATTTGCCCAAGAGGAGAAATGCTGATTCCGATGTAATGTAGCGATTTCGCTTTGTGGAAAGCGTCCAAGCCTGGTGAGCCGAGCTGGGATAGTCCGTGGGGAAAAGGCAGGCCGGGGTGGGTATGTACTTCCATGCCAATCCTTCTCGGCAGATACCACGTCATCATAAGCTCATTACAGACCCTTGTAGCATATCGAGTGTTCTGCAATGGCGGTCGATAAGTTAGGTGATCGGATCGATATCCATTCCGGTGGAATTGACCTCTCATTTCCACACCATGATAATGAGATCGCGCGTGAGTCATCAGGGCCGGTTTCACAACCCAAATTTGACACCCGGAGAGGAATTCTGACCCCATAACTACTTAGAAAGCGAGGCATACTTCTGTCATGGCAAGAAAAGCCATCAACAATGGGTTCAATACTTGTACGTAGTTGCCGCATGATTCCTGTCTTCCATGGACCTCTATATTGGAGCAGCAACGCTAACTCTGCACTCTCCACCAGCTTTCATACCGGCCACTTGTAAGTTCAACCGTGCCCTGCTGAACTTTTCACAGCTGACCGATAAATACTGTCAGATCGATCAGCGGTGCTAAGATGAGCGTGAGTGATTCTAAAGTCTATCTTTCCAAAGGCCAAAGCTGACTGAAATATCTAGAAATCTCTCAAGAATTTCACGACCATAAGACAAGCACTCAACAGCGGAGATTGGACTCCTCGTGGGCTGCGAATTGTGTTTTTGATGCATAGCTGGAGCGATGGTATCGAAATAAACGAGGGGTCGAAAGAAAAGGGCTCCTCATGGGAAGAGAAGCTAAATGTGGGCCTTTCCGCCTTGGCCGCTTCTGCGCGGACTGACCTTGCTTAGAACTTCTTCATCAATGTTAAAGCCGTTTTGGAAGACCCTGATCATGTCGGTATCAAGGATAGCAAGCATGATCTTGATGGCGAGCTTGAGAGAAAGAAGCAGGAGACTTACGAAGCACTTTGCGATTCTTTCGACACGCCTACGGTAATGGACAATATCTCCAGATTGATCACAGCGTATAACACTGTGGACCCGTCGACTGTATCCCAGGCCACGACAAAGAGTATCGCGTTTTGGGTGACTGAAATGGTAAACATGTTCGGCCTTAATGGAATCGCTACTCCTGAGACCGCTACCACCATTGGCTGGTCAGGAATCGACGTACCAGAAGGTTCTAAGCCAATACTCATCAGTCTTTCGAATCGACGTGACTCTCTCAGGAGAAAAGCGAAGGCAGACGCGGTGGTCAAAGATGATTTGACCCCAATTCCCATACCAGTTTCTTCTCACACATTATCAGAGGCACAGACAAGGACTCGTGCGTCTTTTGCGGAAGTCCTCAAGAATGTCAATCAAGACATAGACGCTCTGGACGCCACCAAAAGCGCCAAGGATCTCTCCAAGGATGTCCTCCGCTTGTGCGACAGAATTAGAAATGTTGATCTTTGGGATAATGATGTATATCTTGAAGACCGCGAAGGCAACAAGCCAGCCTTGATCAGGCTGGTCACTAGGGAGCTACGAGCGACGAAGGAGCAAGAGCAAGCGCGAGAGCGGAAGAAGCAGGAGGACAAAGAGAAGCGGGAGAAAGACGCAGCTGCAAAGGTTGAGAAGGGCCGCTTGAGTCACAAGGAAATGTTTCGATCACTGGAATTCAGCGCCTGGGATGATGATGGGCTGCCAACGAAGGATAAAGAGGGAGAGGAAATCTCGAAGAGCAGGAAAAAGAAGCTGCAGAAGGACTGGGAGAGGCAGAAGAAGCTGCACGAGGTATGGACGGAGGCACAGAAGAAGTAACGGTGTGGGTGTGTAGGGAAGAGGGTTTTGGTCGTGGTGGTGGCAGCTCGAGCTGATACCCCTGAAACGCATCATTAGAATTTTGATATGAATTCTTCTGTACTCGGCTACCAATCGTCCTACTTCCGTGATTCAGTTGTAGTTTTTAATCGAAATATCTAATTGAGGAAGATTTGCTTGCCTTGAAAGGGTGCGGGAAGCCGGGATGCTTGCATGCAAGATGACGACCTTTGTACCAAACATTGATACTTTCCAACCCTCTGCCTTCTCTTCAACCTCGTTATTTGCCCAACCAACGGTCGACCACAACAATACAGTCGTCATGGTATCGTGACAATTCTCGACGGCCATGGGGTTCGGACCGTCAACCCTCTCACACAATGATTCCCTACGCTGCGATCGCTGCTGCCCTCAGCTCAACAACCATTCGTGTTCTTGCATACGTCTTCTTTAGATGGGTAGCTACCCTTGGATCATGCTTCCGCTGCCTCTTCACCAGCTAATGTGCCATCTACAGATACCAGGACACCAGCTCCCTCCTATCATCTACGCGGCATCACTAATCTACCTCACCTCATTCCTGTTTGTCCCGATCCTTAACAGACGTCTTGCTAGAGCGAGCACGGGAATAGTGAAGGATGAGAAACGCGAGCTACAGCCGGTCCGGTTGAATAGAGCAGGCAAGAAGAGCAAGTCAGAGACCACGATTGAGCTCAAAATCAATGGGAGGGTCTACAAGACCAAAGACCCGCACGTGAAATGGTTGGAGAAGGGCCTACATGTCTTACGAACACTTTTACTGGGATTGCCCAGCCCCAAGAGCACTCTATACAGCCTGGTCACGCTAAGTATTAACGTCTTGTTGGTATTGGGCGTGGTGGATGTGGTATATCGCGGACCGATGCTCTATCAGAGTCATGATCTTTCTTTCGCCAGAGTTGGCTTCGTATCTGATACCAGCGCCAAGATTCTGGTTCGTGAGCCGGATGTTGCTCAGGTGCCTATCTACTTCTCTTACAGAGGAGCACCAGGATCGGGGGTGGACGATGCGTGGAAGTCGGCAGGACAGGTTTACCGGCTATCAGAGGAGACGGACTTTACCACTACTTTTACTCTCAAGGAGCTTCGACCTTGGACCAATTACCAATATGCGGTGTCCAATAACCATACTGGCTTCTTTAAGACTGCTGCTCCTGTTGGCCAAATGACTGTCGGTCGCGGGACATTCACCTTCCTAACGTCGAGCTGCATCAAGCCACGATTTCCCTACAACCCGTTTTCTCACCCACTCAACATTCCTGGCTTGAAGCACTTGGCCAAATGGATTCCGGAACTGCACGCATCGTTCATGCTCTTTCTAGGTGACTTCATCTACATCGACGTCCCTCACCGGTTCGGTACCGATTCAGAAACCTATCGTCGGGAGTATCGCCAAGTCTACTCTTCTCCTGACTGGCCTGCTGTTTCCGACTCCCTGCCATGGCTACACGTGATTGACGACCACGAGATCGCTAACGATTGGGATAAGCAAACTGCTGATCCTTATCCAGCGGCAACGGACCCATGGAATCTTTACCACGCGTCTCTCAACCCGCCTGCTGCTCTTCCCAACGCTTCTTACTTCCAGTTCACCCAAGGGCCAGCGTCCTTTTTTCTAATGGACACTCGCCGCCATCGCTCCCCCGAATACCCAGCACTCGCTCGCTCTCCTGACAAAACTATGCTCGGCGCTGCACAGCTATCTTCGCTACTAGCCTTTCTCAAACGCGATGAACCAGCGGGAGTCAAATGGAAATTCGTCATTTCATCCATCCCATTCACACGGAATTGGCGTCTCAACTCCGCAGACACATGGGCAAACTACCTCCATGAGCGTCGAATCATCCTCGAAGCCATGTGGGACGTCGGTCTCCGCGGCGACGGCATTGGGGTCGTGATCCTCAGCGGGGACCGTCACGAGTTCGCAGCCACCGCGTTTCCACCTCCAAAGGACGGGAAATGGCCGCTAAGTGCTACGGTGCATGAATTCAGCACGAGCCCTTTGAGTATGTTCTATTTGCCCGTGAGGAGCTATTGGGAAGTGCCGGGTGAGGACGATGTAGACGAGGTGTGTATCAAGTACGCGCCGGACGGCAACAGCAAGTTTGGAGCTGTGGAGCTGGAGGAGGTGATGGGTGGGGAGCAAGGGCTGTTGCGGTTCAGGCTTTTTGTTGATGGGGTCGAGAGTTGGGATTACGTGCTAATGACGCCGCCGGCTGTGGGAGGGGGAGGGAGAGGGAAGGATGCGATTTGGGGATGATGGATGCCGCGATCAGAAAGTGAGGATTGGGATTTGCCTTGAATGGGTTGGACGTGATAGAGAGATACCCAGCATATGGCGCTTCGAATGGCGCACTCGTAGCAGGATACTCATGTGTAGATAGCTTTCTAGTGTTAGAGAATGTAGCTTGACTTTTGACCACGTCCTACCCAAAAACTGGACCATTTCCGCAGCTTGTAAATTCGGATCTTGCCTATCCCTTGTCCTCGCCTCGTCAATACCTCTACCCCGGGATTTCACTACCACGGCCCCGTCGCTTCGTGACGCTCCAGGATTTCAAGCTTATGATGCTCAGCTCGGGGTTTCGGTGGTGGATAACGATTCTGTAGTACCGGTGCTTTCTTCAAATTCCAAAGGTTTCAACCATTGCGAAGACCCATGCCACCGAATGCTCTATCCAGCTCGTCCCCAGCAGGATCTGCACCTGCCGTACCCCGACCCTCGTCCCGCGGCCGCTCATCCTGCCGATCCATAAGATTGGCACTCTGCACTTGCGCACCACCTTGCGCACCACCCAGCGTCGCTGCTCCAGCAACAACGCTCCCCCTCTTCGGCTCCAAGATCTTCTCCTCCCTATCCAACCATCCGGGCGCCACCCTCCTCTTTTCGGCCAGCTCCTGCTCCTTCAAGCCCTTCTCCCACTCCTGGATCGTCTGCTCGGCGTCCTCCTGCGCTTTGTGGATGTGCGCTTGTAATGCCTGGCAGGAGGCGATGATCTCCTCGGGGGACGCGGCGTGCCCGGAGGGCGAGACGACGTATTTTTCGCGCTCGCTACCGGAGGGGTCGGCGGTTGAGGAGGGGGGGAGCGTGGAGGGGAGAGGCTTGTAGGTGTAGGGGAGGGTGGTGGCGGTGGGGAGGGAGATGAAGGGGGAGACTGTTAGGGGGATCTGGGCGAGGATGGGGTGGGATCCTGGGAAGGTGTCAGCTGGTAGATAGGTTGGTGAAGGTCCAGATTCGAGCTTACTGCTGCTGTACATGTTTGCTACTTTAGTGATGTGGGGATGTCACAATGCTCGCTCAATGGTGGAACATAGCAGCAGAGATCTGGATAAAGGCTAGCCGATAGATCGGACGACTTAACCGGAAACCCGTTATTCTACAATTATGCATTATCTCGTTCCGAACTTCCGCTGTGAGGTTTCTGTCGAGGTCGTGTGCATAGTGGGCGTCGGAAATGGGCAAGGCCTCGAACGTTAAAGTACTTTAGATCTCGATGACGAGGGTTCCCTCGGGGACATCTTAAGTGGTACTGCCTTGTAGGGCGTGCGCTAGCTGCCCCGCGGGTGCTTGGCGGAGTCTAAGCGCCCTCGGCTGCCTTCAAGGCCAGAGGCATGAACAAGCAGGCTCACAAAATCCCTTTCCCACTTGCACAAACATTCTATGTTTTCAGCCTCATCCTCGAAGGAATCAGGCAAAATATTTGCCTTGACACGTTGAAAGACTCTGACGCAGAGGTGCAACATCCGCCCTGCCTGCGCTTGAGCTTTTCAATTCCCCCCCTTTCCCCGGCAATCCCCCACCTTTTGACAGCGCGTGCGCTCGTACTTTAGATTCCCCGGTTTGCCATCAGTACATCGACCGAAAGCACCAGCCACACGTGCCCCTGTTAGCAATACATACCATCCAGTGTGGAAACGACTATGACAGCAAGGCCTTAGAAAAATCAACCCTTTTCCGTCATCGTCTTTGTTACCTGTCGCTATCCTGATTAACAAGCGGTCAAGCACCGTTCGCAGTGGCGTTCAGTGACTCCGCCGTTACCCATGACGAGTCCATCCAACAATTCACAGCCTTTAGTCTTGGCTCAACTCGAAAAGATGGACGGAAACACACCTAAGAATAACTTCGAGGTCGCCGCTCGCGCTATGGAACACAAGAAGCCCGTACCAGAGATAGATTTCACACTGCATACCATGGAAGATGGCCAACAGGTCAGCACACAAGAGCGGGTCTGTAAAGGTATGCTGAAATCACACCGGGAAATCAGCTGCCGTTACTAACGTCGTAATCCAGATGTCCAAGCCCCCGCTTTCAAGCCACCCACAGAAGAGCAATTCCGTTCTCCACATGATCGCAACAAGCCCAACCTCCAATTTCTCAAACAGCACTTTTATCGCGAGGGTCGATTGACCGAAGACCAAGCGCTATGGATCATACAAATGGGGACAGAGGTGCTGAAGAGCGAGCCTAATCTGCTGGAGATGGATGCGCCGATCACGGTCTGCGGTGATGTCCATGGACAATATTTTGATCTAATGAAACTCTTCGAAGTTGGGGGCGATCCAGCAGAGACTCGATATCTGTTCCTGGGAGACTATGTGGACAGAGGATATTTCAGTATTGAAGTAAGTGCTGCCATTTCTGTTCAGTAGCGCTGCTACCCAATTCAAGAGCACTCAGGCTGACACGTTCAACAGTGCGTCTTGTACCTGTGGTCGCTCAAGATATGGTACCCAAATACTCTGTGGCTGCTCCGTGGGAATCACGAGTGCAGGCATTTGACGGACTATTTCACATTCAAGCTTGAGTGCAAGCACAAGTACTCCGAGAGGATCTACGAAGCGTGCATGGATTCTTTCTGCGCGTTACCCCTTGCCGCGATCATGAACAAGCAATTTCTGTGTATACATGGAGGGTTGAGCCCAGAATTACATACCTTGGATGACCTCAAAGGGGTAAGTTGCGCCAGCATTTTTGAGATCGCAGTCGCTGATAGATTTAGATTGATCGATTCCGCGAGCCTCCTACCCATGGCCTGATGTGTGACATTCTCTGGGCAGATCCACTTGAAGAATTTGGCCAGGAGAAGACTCAGGAATTTTTCCTCCACAACCATGTCCGAGGGTGCTCCTATTTCTTTTCATACCCTGCTGCGTGCGCCTTCTTGGAGAAGAACAACCTCCTGTCTGTCATCCGCGCCCATGAGGCTCAAGATGCTGGCTATCGGATGTACAGAAAGACTAGGACGACAGGCTTCCCAAGTGTCATGACCATCTTCAGCGCACCCAACTATCTCGACGTATACAACAACAAAGCCGCGGTTTTGAAGTACGAGAACAACGTGATGAACATCCGACAATTCAACTGCACACCACATCCCTACTGGCTTCCAAACTTCATGGATGTTTTCACCTGGTCCCTACCCTTCGTTGGCGAAAAGATTACAGATATGCTGATGGCGATCTTGAACACGTGCTCGAAAGAGGAGCTGGAAGAGGATGTTACCCCATCTACTGTCTCCGCACCCGCTTCGCCGCCTATTGAGAGAGATACTGAAACCGCTGATGCCAAACGAAGAGCAATCAAGAACAAGATCCTCGCCATCGGTCGCCTCTCTCGTGTGTTCCAGGTACTTCGTGAAGAGTCCGAGAGGGTTACCGAGCTTAAGACAGCTTCTGGCGGCAAGCTGCCTGCTGGTACACTGATGCTGGGTGCCGAGGGAATTAAGCAAGCCATCCACAACTTTGAAGACGCGAGAAAGGTGGATCTGCAGAACGAGAGACTACCCCCTAGTCATGATGAGGTCTCGAAAAAGAGTATTGAAGACCGAAAGCAGGCCTTGCAACGAGCGAACAATGAAGCGGATAATGATACAGGCTTGGCACAGGTTGCCAGAAGGATCAGCGTGTAAGTCATTTCAAACTGTTACTTCGCTACCACGATTACTGATCATGGTATCCAGTTCCTCTGGTGCGGGAAAGGGCAGGCGCCTCGGCTCATAGGTCCTCTTGCCACAAAGCGAAGCGACCGCTTCCATCCCTCCGCTTGCCACCGTGTGGTCACAAAAAGTCTTGGCACCTCCCTTCTCTAAACATCTCCTGCTGATCTAGCACGGCACGGCTTGTGTATTGATGATGGTCTACATAAAACGCTGCGTAGTAAAACGGTCTGAGGTGGCATCGTAACGGGCTCAGGACGGGGCTTGAGCAATGGACATTTCTTTCATGATTCATTTTGTAGATAGCTGGATCACGAGCACTATGATACTTCGTTAGCCAAGTCCATAAGTGTTGCATTTTTTTTAGGTCGAGAGTAGTCGACAGCAGGGCACGACCTTTCCCCAACACAAAAGTCTTGCGTCTTGATCCGCACGTGTACTGGTTTTTCAACCATCCCGGCAACAGAAGTGCCTACAGACCAGCTTCAATGCACAAAGCTACGTGACAGGGAGAAGTTTTCCTCAGTAAACACACACAGCAGGAGATTGATCTCTCACTTTCCTTTTCATGGGGTACTGGGGCATATTGATGCAAAGCCCGCTAAGCGTTTAATATGACCGAACAAAAGCCGAATTTATGGAAGACCACACGCGCTTTTCCAGATGTCAACTTTAGATGCCTCCCAGATTGCCATTGATTGGTAAGGCAGTGTATTCGCTATCTCTCTCCTCGTGGCCTTTCGTATGTCGATCATGCCGCTACAAGCAGGCTCGTGCTCTTTCCAATGGTGCTGCAAGGTTAAAACCCCAGGGAAACCGCAAGGCGCGTGGGACGACTCTGCAATTAAGGACAGCTTCAACGACTGCCTCCATAACAGCAGTCAACGTCAGACGGGATATACCCCCTAGATTCTTGCATCTGCATGAGTCGTTGAAGGCTCTCGAGACCGAAGCGGCAGTCTACATCAATATTAGCCAATTGCGCCTGGCTTTGAGAGGCCTCGAGTCCGAGAATGCTGTCACGCGCGTCGCTGGTAAGTCTTGTTCTAATGACAGCAATGATTGATCTGAGTCGCTGATGCTAGAGCAGTGCTGGGTCTGAACGGGCACAATGGACCTCGAAGGCTGGCGAGAGCCCTGCTGGCGGATCCTTTAGCATCGGAGCAACGGTGGGAGAAGCAGCTCACGGCAGACGACAACGATGAAAGAGCTATACTTCTGCGGTAAGTTCTCAGTCCTTTAAACCAGGATAACGATCACCGCCCTGCTTACTATGGCTATAGCTACGGGGAACAGGCCGATGTGGACGACCGACATCCGCTCGTGAAGACACTATTCATCCCTTCTACAACATTACACATCCACAATCTCGAAATACTTGTCCAGGCTAGCTCGGCTGCGGATAAATCATATGGAGAAGCAGGAGCAGCGAATCTGCTGGTGCCCGGGTTAGAATCTCAAAGCTCAGCCAGTGGCAGGCTTTCTACGGTGACATTTCCAGTACACAAAACGGTCATATACCAGGAAGGATTGCAAGACCTGGGCAGTATACCAAAAATCAACCTGCATGACAGGAGCATTTTCAAGGTTATCATTGACTGGTCCTGGAGTACTTTACAGCAACAGAGCCAAAACGCCCAATCCGTCTCCCCAATCAACCTGGCGCTCGGAGAAGCAGCCATTGAAATCTTTCGGCAATCGCTACAGCGGTCGGTTGAGTACGAGCATCTGTGGTTTGATGCCGGAATGCCCGGTATGACGGCATGGATGTTGGATGGCACCGAGTCACCGAATGGCGGCATCAAGCCGGCAATACGTGGGCTTCTTCAGACTATTTGCAATAATACCAAAAAATCAATCGCTCAAGAAGAGGAGTCAAGCGACCAGCGACAGAAGGCTTCGACTATATCTGTTGCCACGAAGAACATCATCGAGCAAGGTATCTCCATCTGGGCAGAAAACGCCCACACTGAACTACGTGATCGTCTTAACAGCGCGTTTCACAGCAAAAGCTGGAGACGGATCAAGTGGTGGAAACTCTTCTGGCGCGTTGACGATGTAGAATATATAGCCTCAGACATCCTCCACAAGGCTTGGCTGGTAGAGGCGGAAAAGGAGATGATATGGATATCTGGCCGCATCCACCAGTCAGGACTACTTGGGCCGCCTAAGCTCAGGCCAACGGCAGTGCTCGACCCGGATGACGAGCAGACGCTCGGCGGCCATCCCCCCCCACCTCGTGTGTCTGATCTTGTCGAAAGGGTTCCGAACTACGAGGTTGTCGAGGACCAAGTCTTCCAACACCCATGGTTGCAAAACATCTACCGCGCTCGTTCTGCTCTTTCCCAATTCACCGTTCCTCCTCTTCAATCGCTTTCACAGTCCCTTCTACTCCAGACCATATCCACCAATGCCCTCACCTCCTCCCTTTCCGCGCTTCTCTACTTCTCAATCTCTACAACATCTCCATACGAAGCAGGTGCTATCGCAGCCGTTGGTCTAGTCTGGTCATTGCGAAGATTGCAAACGAGATGGGAAAATGCTAGGAGTACGTGGGAGGCGCAGATCAGAGAAGATGGAAGGAGAGTCCTGAGGCACGTGGAAGAGGTCGCTCGGGAGACTGTTCGTGAGGGTGGTTTGGGAGAGGCTGATGAGCTTAGTAGGGAAGCAAGAAGGGTGGCGAGAAATGCTGTTGCCAGAACAGAGGGAGCCTTGGAGGAAATAAGTCCATGAGGTGACTCATCATTGCACGCACGTAGATACCCTTAGAAGTCAGGATTAGGCAGACGCTGTCCCACTCCAGACCCAAGGTTGTAGTCTCAGATCCCGTGAATGGTGCGAAAAGGGGTCGGCCACGATTAGAGCAGGTCTTTGCTTGACCTTGTCTCGATTACTAGCGATCACCAAGCGTCGACAATCGAGCTTCTTAGACATCAATAAGATTTGGGAATAAAGACAACTATTTACGACTTGGCGTCGTCATCAAAAAGCGATACATTTGTATTCGTGGACTTTGATTATAATACTACACGAGCGGCCCACCGCAGACTCCGTCAACGCATGCGGCACCGAAGTTGGATGTTTCTTTCCTACCGGATCACCTTCTCGTTCATTTGTCCAGGGATAAGGAAGGGGTAAGTTGCAATTCACCATGCCGACGCCCAAGAGTGTCGAAATTGGAACGCGAGGTGAATGCACGGATGAAAGCGGTGATGATGTCTTCAGCGCTCAGTGAGTGCGGAGAACATAAACAGAGGCATCCGTCTTCTCTATCGAACTTGTTCTGCCTGCATGAAACGATGGTGGAGCTTTCAAGCTTATGTGTGGGCCTCGCTCGAATCATTGATGTAAGCCCGTCGGTCCAATACGAGAGGGTCGTCTAGACGGTGTCCTTGGCGATGGGAACGCCTTCGACGCTTGTGGAAGCGAAAGGGTCGGAGGGGTTTGGGATATGTGACGGGATAGACTGAGAAGGCCGATCCAAAGACTGAAGCTTCATTTGACGCAGTGGCTTGATAAGAAGGGGATAGGTTTCAAAAACTCGACGAGCGCTGTTCGTCAACGTCTTTGTGCTTGACAGTCACTGACCGTCGTAGCTCAGAAATGGAGCGGTTGGTGGACCGCTATGTAAGTAGGTTGAGCGTTATCAGACCTTGAGGATTTGGTTCTTGGCTGAGCTATGCGGCCACTTCCTGAGGATGGCTCACATTGTGAAGGCCACTGTCAGTGAAAATCGGGGATGGTAATGCTTAGGGTGGAAGCAGGAAGCGGAACTTATTCTAGCGCAGTACGGGATACTGTCAGTAACGCCAGACTGCCGGAGTGTGAGGAATATAGTAGCAAGGCAGCCTTTCAAATCTTGGTGTGAGAGCCACAGCCGAGGACCGCGGCGGGCGTGTTTCCGACATCCTCTCTGCCTTTGCGGCTGTTGCTGTGCGCACGAAACTTGTCAGGCCTGCTCTCCTGAGACAGGTCTCGGGTCGGAAGATGGCGGGCTGATGGACGACATGGAGTACAGGTACTGCTTGTCCAAGAATGTTCATCTGTCGGTCGGTTCCGGGACGGATAATCTTCTGTCGCGCAGCAGGTGAACAATGGGACCTTGGTGATGTACCTGAAGCCTGGTGCAGTACGCGTTTTGTGGCAGGCAATATCATGGGATTGGGGATGGACTCCATCGATTCCGCGCTTACCCCTATATTCTTAATTATTGGGAAACTAGAAAATTAGCATTCGGGCTAGCACCCCCTCCCACCGAAACTCGTACTGTAGACATGCCTACCATATTATCGCTCCCACCAATCTCCCTATATCTCGCTGTTGTTAAATATAGCTATTAGTACACGGAATAAGCGAGTCTCTAATAGATTTAATAAGGAGGCCGCCGTAATCGTTGTTGACGCTATTAAAGGGGGCGTAAATTGAAGAAATCTACCCTAAAACCTAAGTCGACGAAGAAATCCTCCCTCCTTATCGATAAGCCTAATAGAATTAATATTAACTCTTCTTTTATTATTTAATTTCAGTCTATTAATCCTTTTATAAAACTACCGACCTATTCTATTAGTATAAATATCCTATAAAAAGAGAAGGAGATATAGACTTATTCTACTATCTTTAAATAATTCAATTTTTACGAGTTTAATTTAAAGGCTATTTAAGAGATTTAATAGAAGATAAAAAAGAAAGGCTATAGGGTAATCCTTTAGAGCGCTATTATTACGCTTTTATTCTTAGAAAATATTAAGGCTATAAATAATTAATACGACGATATTATTAAGTAAGAGAATATTAATAATCTAGCGAGATAATAGCTAGTTAAGGAAAAGAGAAAGGGGGTTATTATAAGGATTATATATATCTATAATTTTAAAAAAGACTTCTCTAAATTAGAATTCTTTACTACGAAAGAGCTTCTTTTAAAGAAATAAAAGAAGATTAATAGAATTATCGATAATAACTCTTCTTTAGATAACTTCGCTACTATATTAAATAATTCTAAATTATTTAAATTTAATAAGAAGAAGAAATAGAAGAAGAAGATTAAGACGTCTAGATTTAATAGCGCTATTATTAAGTAAATATTATATATAAAGAAGGCGAAGAAATTGAAAAGAAAGTTTAAATTTGAAGGTTATAAGATTATAAAGCTATAACTATATTTAAAGCTCGACTATCGAGAAAGAACGTATTATTACTAGTAATTAGACGATCTCGATAATATTTATTATCTACTCGATAACGATTAAATTATTAAATAGAATAAGGCTATAGCGAAGTAAGAATGTGATATTAATATTGAGAACCTGTTTATACGAATGTAGAAGCGAATAAAATCTTAATAGAATTAAGCTATAAAGGTAAAGGCTATTAATAAAGAGATTAAGTCGATTAAAAAGGAAGTTTATATGATTATTAACCCTTCTATTCTTACTTCTACTACTACTTTAATACTAATTAATATATTACTTAATAAATTAAATATCTTACTCTCGCTAATATAAGGCTTTTAATAATAGTAGTATAATGCGTATTAATAGTAGTATAATCCGTATTAATAATAGTAAGTTTAAGGCTATTCGCTCTATTAGCTTATACTTTAATAGTTTTAAATCTTTTTCTTATAGTAGTATATGTATACTTAGATTTAATCTATTTAGTCTTATTTATCTAATTTAATTAAGCTATTATCTTATCTAGATATAGCTAATTAATCGTTCTTTAAAGCGCTTTAATTATTAAGTAGTTCGGTTTAGGTGGAGAGTAATATAGGTGAACTGCGGAGGGCCTATTTTGCCTGGCAAATTTAGAGGAATCCGAGTGAGGAAGCGGCCTTTGCAGACGCTCTGGAAAAGATTGAAGTAGAGTCATACACACTGAAGCAAATACGTCGGATGTCGCCTTCTGATTGGAAAGAGATAGAGGTTTCAAGAGGAATGGCTATACGGTTAAAGGATGAGGTGAAGGACTTTGTGGAGGTGCTGCGGCTTCGTGCTGCTACCTCTGCTGCTGGGTTCGCTAGTCATCAGCTATATACTACTTTGAACGCCCTCGCCGCCGCTGCCCTATTAGAAAATAAGGTTATTAATAAAAATAGTGATGAGGAGGGGGAGGAGGGGGAGGAGGAGGCCTGAATAGCTGCATATCGGAGTTTGGAAAATAAGGTCCGATGATCGACAATTAGCGCCGGGCCTGCCGCCGCCACGCAAATCTCGAATATTTAATATATTTGAAATCAACCAATGATCACCTATTTAAATAATCTAAATAGTATAAAATTACGAGTTAAATATGGGCTAAAATATAAAAAAAAAATCTCGAGAAACGATTGCATTTTGGTGTAAAAATGTTAGATATAAGGGTTTTTTCTCCGCATTACGCTAAAATGCGGCTTAAAACTCTATCTTTAGACTTCCTCGCTACTCGAATAATAGCCTTTATCTTCCTCATATAACTTCTCTTCTTTCTCTTTATAATCGCTTATTAATATATCGGCATGTGCGAAGTAAGCCTTAGTATAGATCTTTATACTATAAGTTTATATAGCCAGCTTTAAATATTATCTAAATGATATGTTCTTCGCTAACTCGAAATATCTCTTTAGCTAGATCTTAAAAATCGAAAAGAACTTCTTAATAGAGTTGAAATCTAGCGAATATAGAGATAAATATAAGATTATAACATCTTACTTCTTATAGAGTCTTCTAATATTAATGATATAATATATAAAGTAATTATTTATAATAAGAATTAACTTTAGATTAGAGAATAGATTATAATAAGAGAGAACTTCGTTCTTAAGGAACTACTTAAATTAAATATTATTAATACTATCTTAATAAATATAATAATAAAGAATATCGTCTAAGCAGTATATCGATAAAACGCTATACCGCTTAGAATATTTAATAAAAATTTATATTATTAGTCGAATTTCAAAGGCTATATAATCTCGCTTTCTTTATATTATATATTTATTAATAACGCTTTTATCTAAAAAGATAAGTATATTATATATAAATTTGCTAATCTCTAGGAAGTACGTATTATAGTAAATCTATAAGCGTTCTAAGACTTTATAGCGAAAGCTTTTTCTATTAATCTTTATAGAGTATAGAATTTTTAAAATCGTGAACTAACTAATAAGTAGATTAAATCGATTAAATAGATTATACTATATCTCGTTTTAATATATCTACGGCTTGCTCTCGATAAAGGCCCTTAATCTAATTCTTATAACCGAAAAAATTGCGAACAATCGCTCTCTTTTAGTTATACAAGGCGTAGTATGGGTACCAAACGCGAGGAGGTTATCGATAATGCGGTATATAATACTCTTTCTAACGCCCTCGACGGAAACAATAAAGGCGACAGCAAGCCTATTGAGGATATGCTGTTAAATACGATCCTTGTGGGCATCGGACAGTGGAGGAAACGGCATTTTGAGGCCTTCTATACGTCAGCAAGAGGCCCGAAAAAAGAAACACCAAGTATTCTATACATACGAGCAATTCCAGCCTCAACTTGACGATGTAGATGGTTGTGGGAACGATAATATGATAGGCATGTCTATAGTACGATTTTGGGTGGGGGGGGTGCTAGCCCGAATGCTAATTTTCTAGTTTCCCAATGATTAAGAATATAGGGGTAACGGCGAGTAGGCGCCGGAAGAGTCGTTGGTCAGCAACGTACTCGTACGCCTCTCTGGTGCCTCATCCACAAGTCGCGTTCCAACATTCATTTGCTCAAACTTGAGCTGTTCGATGGAAAGTCTCCTTCATATGACTGAGCAGCAAGTAGCGATAGGAGTTCTCAAATCCTGCCCAAACAAAAGAGTCTTGCTTGGCATTCAGAGGCTCTTAAGCACCTGTGAGGGTTGGGATAGTACCACAGTCTAGTTCGAATGTTCCGATCGGTTATAACCTCTACAATTACACGTAAGTGTAGTCTCATGTATCATCGGAAAGCAATTGCGATTATCGAGTCTAAGTGAGTCTTGAAGTCAAACGAAGCATGAATCGCACGAAGCGGTCGGCTTCTGCGGGCCAGTCGATTCTCACCCCTGCCCCACGATGAAACAGCCAATCACATTGCTCAACTCCCGCCCACACCGCGTATTTCCAAACGCTTCGTTCAGTGCACACTTTGGTATCGCCTCCGCAGAGACATGATGTCTCACGTCTTAGATTTCTCGTCCTTCAAAAATCCTTCGTTGTCCATCGTAAATTTCCACGACATACGAGTAACCCTGAGCAAAAGAAACTGAAGATGAAGTTGTCCCTTCGCTCCTCCCTCGAAGCTGTGCTTATCTCATACACACCAAAAAACTCCTCATATCGAGTGGAACACCTCGCTGCTAACCCACTGGACGCGCGATCCGACCGAATCGTGCCTGGTTTCATATTACCTGCCGCGAAATCGACAGAGCCAAGTCCGAATCCGACTCCACCTCCACCACCTGCTACCGTTACAATCACGAGCATCAGCACCAGCACCAGCCTGATCACCACTACCGTCGATGTAACCGTGAACGCAACCTACTACGTCACCGACACTGAGACTTTCACCACGGCGATTCCGACCACATCATTGACAACAAGCGTTACGAATAGTACCGTGACCATCACCCCAACACGAGCAGGACCAACACACGCATCTAGTATGTCAGCGGTACCAGATGCGAAGAAGCCTGTGTCAGCGTCAGGAGTGCTGGCAATCATCTCCGGGGTCACGAATCTCGCGCTGCTACTGGCGATGTTTTTCCTTGTACGGAGGTTCTACAGGATGTACCGCCAGGAGCGGGTCCTGCGCAAGCAGATGCAGACCGAGGGAGTAGAGCTGAAGCAGGCGGGGGCGAAAGATGATGAGTGGTGGGTGACGGCGCAGCAGTAATGGGATGTATGGAGATAGAATCGCTTTGGCTGGACCAAGGCGAGGACAGGAGGGAGACATGATAGAGGTAATTTTTTAGAACGCCGTGAGCATGGACTCACAGCCATGAAGAGGAGGTTTCATGTGACTTGGCGATGAGGTATGATAGAGCGGCGCGATCTGGAACTTACCATGCATCCTCTTTCAACATTCCATCTATTGATCCTTTTACTTGGCGCGTTGGATCGTAGCGCGGTCTGGCTACCACATGCAGCTGACCTTGCGAAGGTTTTAAGGGAGCCTTCTATTGCTTTGACACACATTTTTGATAAGTTGGAAAGATCGTTGAGGCTTTGCGGTAAAGATGATAACACTCAAATTGCGAATCGGCATTATTCACGCTACCCTCGGGCAGAACACATGGACGTCATGGAAAATTGACATTGCCAGAGATCTCCAGTTGATACGCCGCAAGATTGAGTCAGAATCCACGAGCGGCCTTTCGTTGCACTGTTCTCCTGTGGCGACATTCCATGGCTGTTTTCGCAAAGGATCTTGCACTGCACTCTCATCGCACGGATTGGTGGGCGATTAGTTCACTGGAGCGTCGTGAAGAGCTGCCGGAAGGGAAGCGTGGGCCTCGAGCTCATTTCGTAGAGTAGGCTTCAAGGATGAGAATAAAATACATCTGGACGACGTCTCTACCACCCCTAGCTGCTTGTCCATCGTGAACCTGCTTGACCTACCATGTGTTGCATGTGGAAGGTGCTTGGGAAGGTTTCTACGTTGTGTTTTGGATCACTTCAGGTAGGTAAGGCGGCTGCTCGTTGTGATTGAGAGTAGCTCTCGGCTGACGAGTAGACAAGGTGTACACGTTAAGTTAGCAGCCTTCGGAAAGCAAGACAAGTGACAACCCTTTGAACGGCGACTTGTCAAATCGCACGGAAAGGACGGGATTCAGAACTTTCATAGTCTGCTCACATTGTCTCGCGACTGCTTGACCCTTGAGTCAGCCAGGTCGTACCTGCCGAGGCAACAAGGCATCAACTTTCTTGGGTCTTGGCAACGGATTTGAGCTTACTTCTGTTTTTGTCCTTTGTGTCACTTCTTGCAAATTCTAGTAAATGGCATAACAATAACACAAGTCTACATTCACTCATACAGTTTAAAGTATTGAAGGTTTAAACAACATTCATTCATCACTACAACATAAAGGCGACAACCCTCTTCCATGGTAACCTCAGTCACTGCAGGTCACCATTAGAGTACAATCATTTGGCATTCCACAATGGGCTGCCATACCGACTTGGCGGGGAACTCCTCCTGTGGCTTTCACTACTCCGGGCTACCGTAAGTACCACACACATACCAGCTATTTAGAGAATTAATCCTCGGTAGATGCCCGCTAGAATCATCAACAAAACGGCATAACGCCCCTTATGCTGCCGCTTTCGACACCACGCTCTTTGCATCACTGACTCTCATCGACCAACCCTCCCGCCCGTTCATACGTCAAGTGCCGCCAGATTGCCCATTCCTCGCCTTGCCAGGAGAGATCCGAAACCGCATCTATCGCTTCGCTTTGGTGGCAATCAGACCTTTCACTGTGCAGCTTCAATGGAATAGACCTCGAGATACGGCGCTGCTTCGGGTCAACAAGCAGATATTTGATGAGGCGTCGAGTATTTTCTACGCTGAGAATGTATTCAGATTCCCAGAGGCATTGTTCGTGGGAGCGCCGATTCTTCCGCAATTGCAGACGCTATACCGTGTCTCGAGGGCGAAGTTGAAGATGATGAGGAATATTGTCCTCGAGGTACCGGTGCGTTCCTCCTTCAAAGGCCCTGACCTGCTATTTAGTAACGGGCGATTGCCCATCGTTTAGGTGTACGGCCTCAACTCCAACTTTCGCTTTCGCATCCAGACTGCATTCAACCTTCGACATTTGACCGAATTCCTGGCTTGTTCCCCAAACGTGAAAGTGCAACTGCGGTTTGGATATGTGTGGGGAGAGAACGGCCGCGATCTCGGACCAAGTGAGTACCACTATACTTTAGCCACCGCTGTTGAAAGCCTGCGATTGAATGAGGTGGAGATGGATGTGCATATCAGGACACATCCGAAGTTTATGGACGAGTGGGTTGACCTTCTGGTAAGGACCTTTTTCTGTGTCAAATTCTCGCGTCTCGTGTTCGGTTTTGCGCCTGTTGAGGGCATGAGCCCTTTGATGTTGCTATTTCAATCGATCAGCTCTCTTTCGGAATGGTCCACGTGATGATCAAAGAGCTATCTTGTGCATCATCTGGTATGCCATCGCCTTTATCCCGGCGCCCATGGCAGGCGAGACTCCTTGGACATCGACGTTCCAATGACAGCTAAGATCAGGGTGCTTTTTTCTCAATCTCGCACACCGTTAGTGCTCTAGATCCGTCGGTCCCCGAAAAGCGTTTTCATAGATGTAACCCTCACATACATCTCACTAACAACCACCCTGACAGAGCCGAGAGTTCCAAGATAGATGGTCGCTCGAAGCAATCTTCCAACTGGGATCAGTCTCACAACGACGTATTACATTCGATGCTATCAACGGATTCAGCGACAGATATCAAATGCCTGGGTTGGTGGAGTTCTATGAGGAGGCCTGGAGCATGTCTTCGTACACCTTCAAGCCGCGCCGCATTCCATCCGCAGGCGTGTGTGCCAAAGTGATAGCTCGAGACTTGTGTATCAGCGGTTCCAGATCTTGACTAAGCTTTTCATCAAGTCTTCCCCCAAGCGGTGATCCAGCTCCTACAACCTGCCGTGCCATTTTCATACCATGCCAGACCGGCGCCCACATCATCAGCTTGTAGTTCGCATCTGACCAATCCTGTGCATCAATCATCATTTCTCCCCTGGAATTCTCCCACCTCTCGAGCATGACTTCCGCATACTTCGCAACTATTCCCCCTTCGTCTTTCCCTCCCCCAAGCTTGACCGCCTTGACAGCGTGCATCAGGACCACCACCCCAACAATCTCTGGCCTTCCTCTCAGATCCGTCCCAACCTTCTTTTGCTCCTCCACATGCCTCGGATCCCACATCAAGTCCCAAATCTTTTCCGCATACTTCAACCCCCTCTCCACACCCTCCTCACTCCACCCACTCTGCGTAGCCTTTAATACAGCCCCCCTCATCACCTCCCTACAAACCTTCACATCCCAAAGCCCCACCCCAGTCTTTTTGACCTTGTTTAGAATATCCATCACCACCCCCTGTTCCCCCACCTCATTCGCCCTCCTCATCATCTTCTCAACCTGCCACCCCGCCAACTTCCTCCTCGCAACCTTCAACCCCTCCAGAAACCCAGCCATATTCCCCCAATCCCCAGTCTCCTCCATCAACTGCACCACTTTCGCAAACGAACTCCGTGTCGGCGGCTCATCGCGCCGCTTGTCCAGCGGCAGCAGCTGCAATACTTCGTCGCCTAGACGCACCGTGGCGGGCTCGTCGGATGTGAGCAGGGCGTGGTTGGATTTTTTGTAGACGAGGTCCTGTTGTAGGACGAGGAGGTGTGAGGGGAAGAAGATGTTGGTGCGGAATGTGTTGAGGATGGCGTCGAGGTCTGGGGAGGGCGTTGGGTGGAAGACGGGGAGTGGCCCTGGGGGGTGTTCGTCAGCAGCCGGGTGGAGGAAGAGGGATCGGAGGAGGCAGTACCTTTTACTCGCCGCGTGGGAGTGGTTGTGAAGGAGCGGGTTTGGGAGATGAGGCGCCGGAGACAGGGGCGGCAGTAGTGGGTTAGGTCGATGGAGAGGGTTGCCATTGTGGATGTGTAGAAGTAGGAACGTTTTAGATTTCAATTATATGTGGCGTTGGCTTGGAAGAGGGAAAGTTGGTGAGCCCGAAGCTGGGAATGGTGATTTGTATCGAAAGCTCGAAGTCAGTGACGGGTAACTTTTTTTAGCGCGCTTTTCGAAGCTCTCCGCCAATTGGCGGCGACGACATCTCTCCATTCATGTTACATACGCATGACCAGCCATGGCCTCTACAGCGCCTACATTACGGCAATCGAGCTGCTGGAAACGACTGCTGCGACCATCGCGCCAACAAAAAACCTGTGTGCGCTGCCTCTCCACCGCCCTCGCAACCACACCCTCGCAATTTTTACCTCCTCCGCCTCCACGGTTGCGCTCGCCATTCAGGATCCTCAATGACACTACGCACACCTGTAAATTACCTATTAATATTTTTCACTCTCGGAGCTCCTGCTAATAGCACGATTTTAGTATCCAAAAAGATAAAAACCTACCCCCCTCCGCCCTCCCACCGCGCCAAACACCCCTTCGCGGTCGCCGACTGGCAAGCCTACCACCAGAAACAGCTCGACCCCACCGGCTCCCGCACCCGTCTCTTCGACCGCAATAACCCCGACGTCCCCCGCGTCGGCGACATCTTACTCGTGGCGTTCAAAACCGGCGATCCGTTCGCGGGCGTGTGTCTGAGCATCAAGATGAGAGGGGTGGACACGGGTATCTTGTTGCGGAACAAACTGCACATGGTGGGGGTGGAGATGTGGGTGAAGATTTACAGTCCGAATGTCATGGCGATTGAGGTGGTGAAGAGGGCGGAGAAGAGGGCGAGGAGGGGCAAGTTGTATTATATGCGGTATGTTGCTCTGTTCCTCCCAGGGGTTTCCCTCCTGTTGGGGTGTCCGGTGGGGATTCGGGGCTGATGAGGGGGCGGTGTAGGAAACCGAAACATGATAAGGGTAGTGTGGAGAAGGAGGTTGAGGCGTACTTGAAGAGGAGGAGATTGATCAGGAGTGGGGCGTTGGGGGTTAAGGATCCGTCGTTGTCGGCGAAGAACCCGGCGTCGGCGAGGAGTGGCGTTGGGGCGAGGTAGGAGGAGGGTTATTTGGCGTCGAGGCAGCATCTGGGCGTCTGGGAGAATGGATTTTATGTAATTGTCATACAGACCTTGAGCAAGAGTCGTAGAGTCTAAGTAGTAAATACGATGGATCTGCAGTGTCAACCTCAGCTTGTAGTATACGAAATGGTCTGTGCAACAATTGACCGGATATGAACACTAGCAACATTGTAGCCAAGATAAACAAGATCTGCGTCGAACGTCACAATTTGACTGTTTCTTCAACCTCTTTTTCTACTATATTCCATAGCTCTCTCACTCGTGCCAATATCTATACTGTCTCCCGCAAGCGTTGATCGAGAGCTAAAGAATTCACATCGTAGACCGCAAAATCGAATCAGTAAGTCATCTCCATCAGGAGACGCAACGAGTTACACGTCGCCGTTACAAGCGACGGTTTACTCGTTCCAACGAAAGTACCCTTGCTGTTCTCGATTGCCCTATAATCGAGCATCTCTCTCAGATCGCTCGCCGAACCATTAAAGTGTGCTGGTCGAGTGGACCGTTTCTGTCCCTGCGTCCATCGTCGTACCTCTCTTGCTAAAATGATCACTTAAGGGGAGAGGTGGGTCAATTTTCTTCTTCTGCGCTGGCACAGGGCACCGGCCTCCCACTTTCATTCGTGTGATGTGTCGAAATCATGGTTACGGCTGCGATTATGAGAGCATCCAGTTTTAGCGGTCGGTCCTCAACACTGGATCGCTAGCTGAGGGCCATGGATGGCTTCTGCGAGCCGTGTCATTCTCTTGCAATAGTATGTTGGGATGGGCTCAGAGGGTAAGAACTGAGTTGCAGTGGTTTAAGAACAGAAGATATTAAGACCGGAAAACATTTGTGGAGCTGTGGCAGGACAGCGTCTTGTGGTTGGTCAACGATCGGAGTCTTGTCCGGTGCTGTACCGACTGACAGGTGTCCAAGGCCGGCCAAAAAGCTGATTCAAGCGTTTTCCGTCTCTCAGAATTCCCATGGTCTGCATGCGAAGGATGGTGCCACTCGAAGAATGACGTTGAGCGAGGTGTATTCTGAAGCGAGTGTATGAGCAAGAGCCTCTGATGGGAGGCTTTCCTGGGGTCTTACTGATGAAGTTGCAACTTGGGGGCGACAGCGTACACGGGATCTCTTACTAGGTCGCACTGATGTTCAATGTCGCCACATCAGCAACACATGGCAATACACTCCGATGCAGGAGACAGAACTGGACGGTTCGGTGGCTGCAAAATTGGACGACGTGGCCATGTGGAAAGTGCTCGAATTATCGCATGTAATAGTTCAAGCATAATCACACCAAGGTAGAACGGGAATCTGCGGAGCTTCCACAATGATCGCAAGGGGAATAATACATGTCTTAAGGAGTGAGTCCAACAAATCTCTGGTCTATGAAGTGTGCTGTCTCTCGGCTCTGACTTTACACTCAGCGGTCATAAGCTTGAACCCAGGCGGGGATTGGTCCGTGTGATTCTGACTTCCCTCGGGCGCCATCCTCCGCGTGCCTGTTCTCCAAGGCTTAATCTACTAATCGGCTCCTCTCCATTGAAGCGGTCGTCCGGAATATGTTACGGAGAAGGCGACGAGATGCGAAGATTTTTCTGGCGCCACGTGGGTCCATCTACCCACGATAAAGACATTATCTCTTGCCTCCTCCGGAATGGTACGACTTTCAACCTCCCGTCTGAAGATTCTAACTGACCTGGGTATACTTTCGCCTGGCCTCTCGAGCCGGAGTCACGGCTTGCGTGACTCAGTCTCATTCGAGTCGGAGATTTTGTAGAGGAAGAGACATCATTTCAAGTCTATGTCTATGCTAATGAGTGACTAAACAGGCTTCGCGACTAGTTTCTCCGACAGTAGTCGGCTGCCTTGTAAGGAAATTGCACGTATCTACGGTCCCGTGCTTGACCGTCCTGCCCCTCCCACAATCAGTCTTTCACCTGTGGGACGTCGCAATGGAATTCACGGTTCTTGTTATCCCCCCTCCCGCATACGATCCAGTCGTCTCTGTCTTTGTTCTTATTATCGAGCCTACAATAGTCAAAAAACTGCAAACCACGAGCGGCGAGATTTTCGACGCGGAGAGCAATCTTGTCAAGTCTAGTGAACACTCTTAGCAGCGTCCTAAGTCAGTGAGAACTCTACATACGCCTTTTTCCCGTCGAGCTCCTTTTGGCATCGGTAGGCTTCCTCATGGACCGGGAAGTCGAACACCAAGAAACCGGCTTTTTTCTCCTCGGGGTTTAAGAAAGTATAATCATGTGCCTTCTCGTTGGCTGTTCCATCCTTTCGCTATCTCATGTTATCAGCTATGCATGTTGCCGCCAATCTGTCGATCGAGGAGAGAATCTTACCGCTGTGCAGCCATATTCTTTCATGATATATTCCTTGACCTGCTCCCGGTCGCCATCATTGCGTCCTTCGGGCTCATATCTGTTGACGCCTCAACTGATCAGCTTTGCCAATCATAAGCTTGTTACGTAGGGGGTGAGAGAATTGGCTGCGAGTTTGGGTAGCGCAGCGCTGATATTGAAATGCACGTACCTAACGACGACCACAGTGCCGGCCTCTGCTACTTTGAAGCGTACCGATTTTGGATCGAAGTCGTTGAAATGGATTGCATTCGTGAGCATGTTTGGATCGAAGCTGTGTTGAGCGGGTCCTGTGTTCTATCCTGAGGGATGATGCAGAGAAAGGTAGGAAGCTTGGGAGTGTGGGTGATGTGTATGATAAAAGAAGTCATGGTAGAGGAGGGAACATGAAGCTCTTATATGAATTTCTGCCCACACTGCCTGGGGAGTCTGAAACTTTCACGGTAGCGGAACAAGCTCTCTCCCACCAATACCTTTCACGTTTCCAGGGTTGCCCACGACAATCGTCCCCTCCTGTCCGTTTCTCAAACCTGCCCGACTCAAGCAGGCTTAGATGACGGCCTGCCGGCTTCTCCCAAATCTGCGGCAGACAATTATGTGGGCTGACATGGGGTGTGGCTCGCTCCTGGCACCGTCTGCCCAAGTTCTGAAGCAGGCAATCCTCCTTTTCAAGCCGGATGTAACTTGCTCTTATGCGCGTGATACTCTTCAAACACGGCGACACGCCAAATGTGATGCAGGGGAAGGTGGGGAGAAGCCTGAGGTAATTGGCAGGCGTGCTTTTCTCAGGGGAGGCGATTGTTCCGGAAACACGTAAGCCTCAGCTTGTGCTGAAAGCAGCTCGGATTCCAAAGGTCCCTTCCACCAGATGACTTCGTCTCAGCGCCGGCATCACGGATCTAACCCGCACTGACTGCATTTTTGTCTACGAGGACGACTCCAAAAACGATGCTTAGAAGCAGCTTACCGCCGCTCGGGCTGCTTACCCTCTCTGTTTTTCCATATGTCGCGGATCTAAATTGAATGACTGCCTTTTTTCTCTACCAGCACGACTCCAAAACGAGGCTTAAAAGCAGCTGACCGTCGCTAGGATTGCTTCCACCGTTACCCTCTCTCTTTTTTCCAGATACCGCGGATCTAAATGCAATGGCTGCCTTTCCGTCTACCAAGGCGACTCCCAAACGAAGCTTGAGAGCAGTAATTTGCCACTCGCCTCGACCGACCCCTGTCTTTTCCCACATGCCGGCGCTGCTGCCATCTCCGATGCCGACACTTGGGCATCCACACAAAGCGGCTGGGGGCTTCACAAGGCGGTGTCTCGAGCCGTGACTGGCGTCGAGACTCGAATGAATGACTGTCGCTCGTAGGGTTTGGGAAATGCATTGGGGTTTCAGAATAGACCTAGGTTAAGGGTGGTAGACATAGATTAAGGGTGGTGCGTTAAACGGATGTGGCCTACAACTTAGTGCCCGATCCGATTCTGACGGGCTATCCACCTCTCCTGCAGAGTATACTACCGTTTCTTGGCAGCAGAAGGCGTCAAAAATCTGCCCCCAGCTCACTCAGGGCTCGCCCGAGCCCTGCCGCTTTAGCGAGCGCGCCGGGTGAGCAGGGGTGATGCGGCACCCGACCTAGGTGATGCATCAGCTAGGCTCGGCGATGTATACAACCAGACATCAACGACGACGAGTGTCTTCTGTTTTGGTTGCGTTTGTCCCCTTTGTAGCTACTTTTGCACAGGATTGAAGATTACATACGGGAGATTGTGAAGCGTGCGCAAAAGGCAGCGGTTATCCGGAGATCCTTACAGAAGTTGGTTTTGGGTCAGGCGTGCCAGGATCCTCAACATGTCCATGAGTATAAAGCCGTCGCTGTTGTAGCCGCTGCTGTCGCCACCACTACCGCCTCCCTTAGCGGCATTGACAGCGCCGCCTTCCGGGTGATCATCGTCTAGTACTGTCGCCTGCACTGTCAGTCTTCGTTTCAGCGACACGTGGAGTTGATAGACCCAAACAAATCCTCACTTCGTCTCGACTTGGGAAAGGTGAACTCATAGGAGTTTCTCCTATGATCTGGGTGTCTTGGCCTTTGACTCATTTGCGCGCTATGCGGGAAAATCTTTTCGAATTTTTCCTTCTCATATTACCTTGTCAAATCTCAATGTGACAGAATCAATATCGCGAGTCACCTTTGATGCAATTACATCCCCCAGTTTTCTTTCTCCCTACTTTAATTTTCATGTTACCTCGTGAACTCTCAAAATGACAGAATAGATACCTCGTTCCTGATAACAACTACATTCCCCGGCTTTCTTTCTTTCTTTCTTTCTCCCTAGCTTTGACCAACTCTCCGATACTCTCGATCCATTCGCGTACGACATTAATGCCACCAATTTTCGCACCACTTCCACCGAACAACACCATGTCTGGCCCATCCCAGTACAATTTCAACGATAATGAAGACGCCAACGATGCAGGTGCCTTACGCAAAGCGCTTTCCGGAATAGAGATTGGCCAACCTAGCACTTTCGGTGGTAGGTACATTTTTGTAGCGAGTGCTTTCTTTTCCGGCTTTTTTCTAGAATTGCGAGGCATTTCTCGCAAGCGAAAAGTCTTTCAATGCCCTTCTAGCCTTCTCCATGGCCGCAGTTCTGTCCGCTTCGTCCTAGCGCTTTCTAGGGTTACAAGACATGTTCTGGGAGCAAAGTTCGCACAGTATAGTATCATTGTGGATCCTGAGGTGAAATCTAAGAGACGCAAGCTTTTCCAGTCCTTTGGAGTAGCTTTTGGGAATATTTCCCCAAGTTAGCGGCGGTCTCGAGGTCTTTCATTGACTTGATTGCGATTTTGGGCAAGGATTGAGACTAAAGAGCTCCATCCGTGATGAGAGTGTATGCCTCATCCTCATGATAGAACACCACAGCTAGGATTCCACTCATATTAGTTTCTACAGTATTCCAGTATGCGTCCAATCCCTGATAGTAATGCGATTATTTGCGATGTGGCTACTTGATTTGAATGATTTTGCGGAGAGATTTCTATGCTATAGTACGAATTTGGGTGTGTGGTGTGAAAGATTCCAGATGTTTTTGAATACGCTAAATTCGGTCCTACTCGTACCACACAGCACAATCAACCCAAACTATCAGCTCCATAAGGTTATATCGAAGTATATAGCTCTATACACGAATCAATCTTCTCAGCGCTACCATCCCAACGCCGTTAAGATATAGAGACTTCTTGTTGCATGAGAAAATATAACTAAAAACCATCACCTCTTGTCTTGCCCAGAAATCGAATTCCGTTCGAGGCATTCCACTCCCACCTCTCTCACAATGGAAATCATCCACCAATCCCCCACCTCCTCCTCCTTCACCCCTCTTGCGGTCCACCAATCCCAAACCCCCGACTCCTTCTACTCCGGCCCTGCGGTCCTCTACCACCATTCCCCCTCCGCGTCGCTTTTGCTCCATGCTTCAGACCTTGCGGCCGCCCCAGCACTCGCGGCTCTGGCCAATGGCGCACACAGGAGTGCCAATGGTACGGCAACAGTAGCTGTCAACGGCCACGATGCGGCAGAAGACGAGGACGAGGACGAGGAGTTTGAGATAGCTGGCGTGGATGTTTGGGTGACTTCTGAGTGCGTGTTTCCTCTGCCCTTTACCCCCTCTCCTCCTCTCCCTTCGTATCCCTGAATTCGCACATGTGTAGCTAACCCATGACCTCATCCACACAGGCGTTTCATACTCTACTCCCCCACCCTCTCCACCGGCCTCTCGATCCCCTACCCCTCCATCTCCCTCCACGCCGTCCAGCGCCCCTCGCACGGGAACCCGGCCTCCCTGTTCCTACAACTCCTCACCGAGGCCCCGACGTTCGATGACCACGACCCCGATTCCACAATCTCGATGACCATCGTTCCGGCTGCGGCTGCTGCTGCAACGACGTCGGAGGATTCGCCGGAGCAGGTGGGACGCGTTACGCCGGAGTCGGAATCGCAGGCCCGGCGACTCTATGCTGCGCTTTCTGCTTGCGCGAATCTGCACCCGGATCCGGCGAGTGGCTCTGAGGGTGATGGGGAGGACGGAGAAGGAGGAGGAGGGCAACGTCCGGCTGTTATGTTCGAGGGAGATCAGGATGTTGGTGGTGTATACCCATTGAGCAATGGAGAGGGAGGAGGGGCGGGACTCCCGCCGCCGATGCCGGGGAGTGGGGTTTGGATCACGGCGGAAAATATGGGGGAGTTCTTTGATGACGAGGGGAACTGGAGGGGAAATGGGGGCGCGGGGCAGGAAGTAGGCGTGAGTGGTGGTGCTGGTGGTTTGGGGGAGGGCGCAGGAACTGTGCGGACGAGGGAGGAAGATGTTGATGGTGAGGATGCAGAGGGAGAGGGAGAGGGTTCAGAAGAGACGAAGTGGAGGAGAACGGATTGAACACTACAGGAGCGCCAATGCCATGCAGGTCATGGCATAGCTGGTGTCATGCTCGAGGTGAGCTTGGTGAAAACTCAAAAGTTGGAATTGTCACCGCATGCAGTCTGATGAGCCCACGAGAGACACGGTCAATTATTATGATTATAGATATCACTAAATGTCAAATAGATAGATCGAAGTGAAGGTTCGATTCAGCGCAGCCAGGCATCCAGCTCTTTCAAAAAGCCATCTCGATCGTACGCGCTTCCGGTCGGGCTCTTCCCAAACCTGTCCGTGTCATTGCTCGGCGGGCCGAGCTTCGTCATGCCACCGAAGATCCGCATGTCCCTCGGCCCCCTGACGTTCTCCTTGCCATCCCCCCCCAGCCCGTCATCGTCCCCTCCAGCCTTCTCCGCCTGCGAAAAGAGAATCCGACTCCCCGGCCGACCGACCGAGTCCTCCTCGAAAACCGCACCGCTACCGCTCCCGCTCTCCCCGATGCTCAGATACCGCTTGTGCTCCCTCGACTTCCGGCCCCCGCCGCCGACGACTTCGCTGTTCATCCGCCGCAGCGCGGCGACGCTCCGCCGGAGGTCTTTGACCGGACTGGCGCTCCTTTTGCCGACGCCGCTCCGGATCGGGGAGCGGCGCCGGTCGGGCGAGACGTAGCGGAACGGGGGAGGGCGGGGACCGCCGATGCGGCGGATGGGCGTTTTGGGACCCCGCCAGTTGGCGGCGGCGGCGGTTTTGGGCGGCTGTGGCCAGGGGAAGTTGAGGAGGGAGGATGGGGGGCGCGAGTCCGGGTTGGAGTCTTGGTCGGTGGATTGGATGCTCAGGCGGGATGTGGTGTTGTTTGGTTTCTCTGGATCCGGATGGGTTTCCGTGGGTGGGGTGGGCAGTGGCCATGCTGTTGGGTTGGGGTTGTCGAAGATCGTCTTGCGGCGGTTTGGATGGGTGCTGGAATGTTTCCGTGCGCTGGGCTTCCGAGTGGGCGTGTCGACTTCTATGTCCGGGCTGTTGTCGTCTTCCCGGTAGAGATTCATCATGAATTGGGTAGGGGAGAATGGGCTGTTGTTGTCCATCACGCGGGAATTTTCTCTGTGAAGGCCGAGAGTTGTCAGTGGGGCGAAATCGAAATCTTGTCGCGATGGGGGACGGAAGGTTGTTTGCTTTGGTCTTGTTCCGCGTACCGAGTTCTGCGTCGTCGAATTTCCTTGTAGTAGTTCCTCTTGCTCTTCGAGGGCTGGTGGCTTTGGCGGAGAAGGGACGACGAGGGGTGTATTGGAGATGCGGATGCACTTTTGACGTTGATTTCCACTCGTTCTGTCTTTTGGAGCAGCAGCTTTGGCTGCTGGCAGGGATTCAATGTCCCATTCTACCGGATTGCTGGTCGCGATAGAACACGGCCGCTTTTCCCATGGATCCGAGATTGGACTACCTTCATTACCGGAAACCGCGTGCAAAATCGATGTGGATGCCCTCTTGCTTTTCGTGTCGTCGTGGATGGTGAAGTCGGTGGCGCGACAAAGAGGCGATGATGGAGAAATGCCGCGTCCAGGTCTTCTAGATTCGGCACTTCTGGGAATCGCGACTCTCGACTTTGAGTGAGTGCTTGATGGTTCTTTGGCCAAAGAGGCTCTCGACTCGGCTCGTGATGGCCCATGCAGGGACATTGATAGAGATAGACCGCTGCTTTTGCTTCGGGGCAAACTCTCCTGGATGCTAGCGCGAAATGATCGTTGTGTGTTCAGTTGTGGTCGGAACGCCATCTGTTTCGCAGCTCCTATTGGACTGGCTCTGCCTTCCTCGTGAGATGAGTCCCACACAACGTGGTTTATTTCGTATTGTCCGAGTCCTTTACGTGTCGAAGCGGGACTGGGAGGGGACGCAAGAGTGATGGATGTGAAATCCGTGCCAGCTTGAGCAAGAACCTTGGGCCAATTGTCATCGAGTATGGAGGTTTGCTCGCTGAACAAACTCCCGCCAGATGCTCGCCTTGTACTCTGCTCTGGGCTCTTGACTCTCGGCAATCTCTTTGACGTGATCTCGAATGGCAATGGCGGCAATGGTTGCGGAGGAGCGAGGCCGGGCTCTTGACTGTACATGCTCTTCGACCGTGGAAACTGCGACGTTCTCCTTGAGGCTCTTGGCTCGGTCTTGCTTCCGTCTGCTATTTCAGCGATCATGCCGTATGAACTACTGCGTTGTTGTCCGTGAAATAGCGGTTTTGGTGTGAGATCTGTAGCAAATAACGTTTTTGTGGCATCACTGTCTTTCCCATTGAGATTCAGATTGCCAATCGAACTCATCTCATCTTTTCGCGGTGTTCCATCGGTGTTTCTCGCGTCCTTGGGAGGAGGCGAAGGGAGGACTTTCTTCGACCTCTCAGTGAACGGAGTCAGTGTCGATGATGGCACCTTGACCAAAGGTGTGCCATCCGCACGCGTCATTCGACGAGGTAGCGGCCAAGATTGTTGCGGTGCAGCTGGCTCGTGATCATCTCGATCGTTCGAACGTGCTTTGGGAATATACGCACGCGGTGGTAGGCTTTCGCGCGATGCCATTGGCGTGTATAAAATGTTGCGATTGTGAGGCGTGTGCTGAGACCGGTGTACCGAGGCTCGCGTGCCGGGCATGCGCGCAACGTCTTCGTCTGTGATGCTCATGATTGCGTTGGGACTGGTGGGGAAGCCGCTAAGGCGTCGCTCGCTGGGTGAGTTGATTTGGGAGAGGAGGCGCCGGTGCTTGTGCCGTAGGCCGAGGACTATGAGGATGACAGTAAGGGATGTCAGGCCAACCGCGCCGACGATGATTCCAACGAGTAAATATAGGCTTATCGCCATGACGCGTCAAGGTCCTCGTGCGGGGACCTACGAGGAGAGCGCAGAATCCACGGGAGTTGGTGAGTATCTGACAGTTCTTAGCACTGCGAGAGCGCCCTGACATCACTTACAAGAGTGCATTCAGCGTGAGGTAGGATGACAACCACAAAGACTGTATGATGCAAGTCCAAACTCAAGCGAGAAAGTTGGAAGTAGAAAACTCTTAAACATCGAGCAAGGGACGTGGGGAATGCGGAATGTCAACAACGCGTTCAACGGCTGAACACAAAATACCATTGTCACACCATTAAATTGATTTGCAGTTAAAAGCTTCAATATATTGGTTCGATTGTTGTCGCACTGACTACCTGTTCCCTGGCATCCGCCGTCAAGCATACGACTTTAGCGAAATCTGCTGCAGTAAGGGGGGCATCATTTGTCCCGTCTTATACAACAAAAAATGAAGGGTAAACCCTCATTCTCAATTGTTGCAGTGTGGGTTGTCAAGAAAACCACATAGACAAAGAGGACAGTAGACCTCTGCCGTCTGTCGGGCAATTGGGGGAAATTTGGAACTCAGATGGAGACCATCGGTGCAGCTGGACCATATGGCTAGTAAAAGCTGGGATTCAATTGTACTGCTCCGAAACTTTAAACCAGCATTAATCCCAATGTGTGAAACGCAGTGAGGTTGGAGGCCAGATATAAAACGACGGAGCAACGGTGTGTTTCTTCTAATCATAGCTTCAATCTTGAGCCAGGTATGGTGGAGCCAGTTGACGAGAACCCGGAGAAGTCAGTCCTTCCAGGGATACTTCTGGGCTCAGTTACGGAGACAATGAGCGTTCCCTTTACGTTCCAGTACAGCAGATCGGTCCAGACCAGCAGATAATGTGTCTAGAATCATGCAATTATCGCATCTTCCGACACATTGGTGGTAGAAGCAGTGATTCCCGAATTTTCAATCACGTAGCATCCGCCTTCGTTGTGATTGGTTTGGCCAACGGAACAGAGAACATGTCACATCCCGCACATAAAAGGCGCAACTTCACTCAATACTTCCACATACTGAACATCTTGTATGAACGAATCAAGAAAGACACACCCCAAAGAGCTTCAGAAGATACTAACCTGACGTTTGGTCATCTTCCCAGCGATGTCTCTCGCGGTTACTTACAAAGATCAACCTCCCACAATGATCGATGATGACTTGCAAGCCTATGGGGAGGCCCAAGAGATGAGGGAGCCAGACGCCGAAGGCGAAGACGAAGAAGAAGAAGCCGAGGATTCAGAGTCTTCAAGTGACGACGATGCCCAGGAAGACGACGAGAACGATGACTTTGACGAAAATGCCGGCTGGAGCGATGAGGAAGAGGGAGAGTACGACATCGTCAGAAAGTACGACCTTGTGTGGTGCAAGTCCTGGGAGGGAGAGCAGAAAGCTTACGAGGGTGGAGCCTACAAGGGTAGTTTCCTCAATATCCGTGGTTCAGCGGAGCAGGATCAAGGGGAAGAGCCCTTCCGATGCACTGCTGATTTCAAATGGCGCGGTTTCGTTGCGCAATTCACCTGCATCTACCGCTCTGAGACTCAGTCCTTCACGGACTTTAAGGCGAAGACGAAGACTTTGGCTGGAGGTATGGAAGATCTCAGAGGCGTCAAGGTCCGTTTGTGGGAAGAGACTTTGAGCAAGGAAATGGGCGAACTGGTTCGAGGGAGAAAGGAGGTCAGAGATGATAGAGACCATCTGTTCCTCTTCATGCAGATGTACACCTGGAAGTTGGGAATCGAAGAAGTGGTATATTTTTTGTATGGGAAGCAGGTGGTCGAGGATGGAGGCCAAGACAATACCGCCTTGACAGAAGGAGAAAAGGAGAGGTTGGGTTTGCCACAGAACGAGTAAGAGGACAATCCGAGGAAAGGGCAGGAACATAGAGTTGTGTCAGAGATCTGGCGCAGGGTAGGAGAAGACATACGATCGATCTAAATCCTGTATGATCTAGCAGCTCACCTTCGTGCCAGCTTTAGTATGTTTTTGCTGCCCGTGGAACATCGCCTAGAAGACATGATTGTGTTGTTTCTGTTGCGTTGAAAATATGCCCAAATCTCTGGACAGCTCAATGATTGAGCCTGCGCTTCTTTCCTCCTGGGCTACAAAAAGTAAAGGAATCCACGCTAAACGTGTAGACGTTTATGTCA